CCCCCCCCTGGGCATGCCACTGGGCACAGGCTAGCTCCACGATGGAGGGAGAATGCAATGCTGAGAACAATTTCCTCTCCCAGATTATGATCGCATTGAGCCTCAGGGTGCGAGATTTTCCATGAAGTACGATAGTGCGCCAATTTTACCTCTATCCCGATGTCAATCTTTATACACATCTCCGAGAAGCCTTTGCCAAGTTCACCGATTATTCCGGAAATGCGAAATTCATCCCTCGGGCGTTCGTCCTCTCGCAATCTAAGCTTCGTCCGGACCTCGGCTCCGTCGAGGTAGATTTTGTAATATAGTTTCCAAGTTGCGCTTATCGCAGAATCGAGAGCGACCAGATACTCTTCGATAAGTCTTGTCCCTTCAACGTGAGATTTTGCCGTTGCCGATTTTCCCACAATAAGGGATCTAGAGTTGAGAAAGGAATTTGGATGTCGAAGTATCAAGGAAATGCCAAGATTAACTCTCAGAGTGAGTGTCGGTGTTTACAAGAAATACGTGAACGAAACCCTCAAAAACAAGCTCCGAACAAGAGGAATGACCGAAAAGCAAACCCCTGAACGGTACAGGACTTTTAAACCGGTGCGAGGGAACATCGAGCACACCTATGACAATACAAGAGGTAGTCGCCTCCTAGCTGAAGCTAGCGCGGGATGTTCAAAGACTAGAAATTTTTGGTCTCGTTTCGAAAACATCGGAGCGACCTACCTGGGATGCGGGATGGAAGAGGAGACTCAAGAACATGTGACCCTCGGATGCGAACACCCCCTGAAGGAATTATACGGAAAAGACTGGGCTTACACGAAGAAAGCGTTGGAAGAGTTGGAAAAGAGGAATATCGATAATGCCGACGGACGAGTCGCGGAATCGCATCCGCCAACGACCAGCTGAGCCATTGCCGGTTATACCAGGGTCTCTCCTTTAGCTGGGGGAGGTCAATAAAAATCCATCAATCAAAGAGTGGCATTGGCTACGATGATCGGTGTCGGTGAGAGGATTTCAAGGTCCCAGGCCTTCGGCGGGAAGAGTGGTCCTCCTGGAGAGCTCTCTAGGCTGACCATGGGGGCTTATGCGAGGATCAAACCCTTTTCGCTGATCTCTCGAAGTTTGAAGGGGGGTCGAATGGAGCTCCATCAGAGATTCCAAGAGAAGCCCTCGAGCTCCGATAGAGACTGATGGGAAGGGTATCTTCCGAGATTTGGCTCCCGGCAGCATGCAACGTGCAATTCCCACATTCAGTATTGCTCCTCCATTTTGGGGAGGGATATGAGCGAGGACGAAATGAAGAAAGTGAGATAAATAGGGGGAGAGAAGAAAAATACGGAGGAGGCTCTCTCCGACACGCAAGACCCTTGGAGCTCGCCGTTAGTCTCATTCCTCGACTTGTTGAGCTCCTTGATATAGATGAAGGAGGTTTGTCGAACAGTGAGCCGAAACACTCATGCAGGCTTCCAGGCTCAAGGAAATGTCTCAATTCCAGCATCATCACAGGAGTTCCCAGCCCGTTCTGGGAACATTGAATTCTGACTGAGTGGACCTCTACTCCGTTTTCAAAGCGAGTTTGAGGAGATAGAGAATCCGGAGTCCATCGAGACTCGGATTAGATGGTATAGCGCGATCCTTCATCTTCTAGATTCTAGATGACCTAATGGGGTGCTCTCTCGAGCTCCGTCTCAAATGAGCGAAAATCGAGACTTTTGATACAGCCAGAATATTTACATTCATTTTCACAATTCGGAGTTCTCCCAGGTGGGAATACTCCAGTAGATATGATCGTCTTCACGGTATGTTCTCGCCCAAGGCACAGACGTAGAATCGACGTGGCACCCGGGATCTGCCGGAGGGACAACCGAATCTCAGTCATGAGAATCCATTGATATACGAATCTGATGATTCTCGGTCGTTTTCGGGATTACTTGCCTGCAGATTTGCTTGAAGACCGCTCGCCCTTCGAGGGAATCTCTTTGGTGAACATTGCAACCGATATTCCGATACGTGATGAGAAGCTTGCCGGGGTAAGTATTGTTCGTCTTCACGCCATTAGCGACATACAGAATGGGAGTCATCCTCGGCATAGGTCGAATCGGAGCAATCTGGGAGCCGTATCGGCAGAATTTCGTGAATACTGCCGTCGATTCCCCCGGAAATACGGGTTTGACTCAAAAACCATATAATAGAGCATGGACGAACCTCGTAGCGCTTCGTAAGCAAACGCCTGTCCTGAACCATACCGTCGTGGTCTTGGAAAAATTCGAGGGAGAGGACCCCGTGTCTGTAGTCCATCTTCATCGACACAGCGATCGTGAATGGTCCAGATGTTGAGTTCTTCATTGGAATCGTGGTCTCACCCTCCAGGCGGCCCTGTCGCTCCCTTAACTGGGTTATGAACCGTCTGAAAACGGGAATTCGATGATCAGCTGATGATTGAACATGTATCACTGAAATCGGGATGATCGGCATGTGCGGGGATCTTGAGAGAATCGGGCTACTGTTCTCGATTGCCAACATCTCACAATGGACTAGGATCGACGTTCAGGGTTTTGAACTGTTTCGTGTGAGGGTTTACAACGAAGGCGAAACTCGAAGCCAGACCCGGATGGACGAAGGCGAGGAATGGTTCTTGACTCGAGAACGAATACGCTGACTCCCACTTCACTTCTAAATGAACCTGCAAGAGCCCCAAATTGCGATCTCATCCCGATCGCTCGAATGATTCCGATTCCTTCCGAGGCAAACTCCAGCAGTCGTCGTCTAATAAAATCAAACTCAGTCTGATCGCTGCTTACGAAACTGTTCACGGCGAATCTTTCCGCCCCGAAGAATCGAGCCACCCGGGAGTAGTTCAAGCTGACTTCAAAGTCGCTCGGAATGACTTCTCGGATGTAGTTCTCCAGGCACCAGTTTGCCGTAGAATTCGGGCTGTCGTCGACTATCGCCTTCGGAGCCGCAACCCAAGCCATCACAATGAAACTGAAGAGCACGAGCAACCCGACGCCAATGACGATGATCATGGCAGCATAATCCGACCTGCAGAAGATCTGCGTCGTCTACGATTCGTCTCATGGGCAGTTGAATTCGTACCTCTCGAGCTCGATGCTCTCCCTTACTTTTTACGAGTCGCATTCTCTCCGCTGTGACTCCTTGGACTGATCACTCGACTATTCGGAAGCCTGTCGGCGGTTCTAGGCTTCCGTCGGCTGAAGAGCTCGATACGTTTCTTAGCGATTCGATTTGGCGACTTTCTGGCTCTGCGATTGGATTGTCTAGGCATATCCGGGCGGCAAATCGAAATTACTCTCAGCTTCGTTCTTCAACATGCATCAGTATTCTACGAGAGAAACTCGCAGCTCAGCGCACCGACTCCGACGTCCCGTGGACAGATGCCTGAGGTCCATTGAGCCGCGAGACTCCGCTCGCAAATCACCCGCGGTTCCCGATTCTTCGGATACGTCGTGAGCTTGAACTCAGACAAAATACGTTCCTCCATTGAGCCTGCAAGCGCTGAACTGACGTTGTGGTGGACCGCCCGCCTTCGCTTCCGTAGCGATCTGATCCCGACCGACAACGACGTTAATAAATTAGTCTTTTTATGCTGGAACGTCCCAAATCTCCGAGAAATCCGACTACCTAATCCAAAACCCCGGGACGTTTTGCGTGGATATATGTGAGAATGAGCGAGGGTTGGTGTTTCGACACCCGCGTTCGAGCACGACGTTACGGTTGGGCCCCGTTTAAGTTTCCACCACGGACTCACTAAAACTAAATACACGTAGCAACTTGTTATCGAAGGAGAATGCCGGATCTCCAACCAATCTCGTGACGAACAGCAAACCTGCAGTCCTGTCGAAAACGCGCTTGCGCCTCGTCTCGCGACATGACGCTGTGTTCCTGCCCATGATGGCTAAATCTATGTGCGTGACATACTCGCCGTCCGCGAGTAGACGAGCCTCTCAGGTATAAGGGTGCTCATCAACCAAACTAAACGAAAACAATCATTTGCCGCTAACAAGAGGAATTCAGAACCCGATAGCAAGTGATTGCTGGAAATCCTCAGTCTTGGTTCCTCGAGACCAGTACTCGACAGTCTCGCGAACCTGAAAGTAGATGGCCGATATGTGGCCTCATCCGGCGTGGAAGACGGGGAGGAAGGTTCCAACACGACGGACAGCAACTTCTTCGAAGAAGAACTGAGCATACGTTCTAAGCAATGGTGGAAGAACTTTTCTTCCCAGCAAACGGAGCGAGGGAAAAGTCGGGAATTCTGATATGTCGGCATCGGCTATGCCCTCAGGAACACTCGAAAACCTTCAGGAACTTCTTCGGGATTATCGACTGGCCTGAATATTCCAGGCTCGATCCTCAGAGTGAGGACATATGGCCAGCGAACAAGAATATCGAGCACTCGGAGCCCAGCCTTATTGAGGATCAGTCTTGTCTTTGCTAGAATAGTCTGCCGATTCCCCTACACTACTGAAGGGGGAGAACGATTAGATGTTTACCCTGAATAAATTGTTCCTCGTGAGGCGGCATATCGACTTGACAACAAGGAGAGGCTCCTGAAGTGGTCCATGTAGATTCCACAGAGGCCAATGGCGCTGCTCGGGTCTCCATGGGATCCGATGAGCGGGATTCCACCGCGGGCCACGAGCCTGATGCTCGGGAGTCCACGGGGCGAAGCAGTCTGGGAAGCGCTGTAGCATGACGACACGGTGCCTGAATTGAATGTGTTCGGGCGAGCCTGTGTGAATAGAGTAATCGTCAAGGGATCCCGCCACCGGTCCAAGTCCGGAGGAATCGCTCGCTCTTCATCTTCCTCCTCGATGGAAAAGAGGAATTCCCGGTCCGATAATTAATCATTCCGAAAATCGTAGGAGGCTTCCAGGATGAAAACGGAACGCAAGCCTTAACCTGAGCGTCGGGAGGTTGAGTGACGAGCGTGTTCGTCCATCGCGATGGACACTGTACACTGCAATGATGTACCGTGAGGAACAGAACCAAGGGTTTCGATCCGATGATGACTGGATTTCGAGCTCCCTGCTCGAGATGCAGCGCTCAAGTCGCCTGCGCTCAGATTTGGAATTGCTGATGATGGAGTCTCAACGATGATGATACTCGCACCGCACCGGCTGACATTAGATGCGCCGACGTTCTCCGAAGAGAATCAGCTGTCGATTCCACCAGCTGATCAACCAGGGCTTGCCGGCGCTATAGTAGCAGCCAAGAGTTGGAGAACCAGCTGAGAGGATCGAGAGCTATGGGGAAGTGGGCCCTGCGCCGAGAGACGAGCTCGATTACGCTGCACACCCTGGCTGATATTTATCTGACCTCGCAGAACCCCAAGATTGCTCGTCCGCGAGTCATGGTATTGAATATATTCCGTCTTCGACTCGTGACTCCATGAAGATGTCGATTTCCTGAATTCCGACTGAAGCTTCCCGAGCGTGCTGCAAGCTGTTTTGCATGTCAGCTGTCTGCGTGTATGGACGTGTGAGAAGTCTCGAAGAGAATCGCAACGGAGGTTCCGTATGCGAAAGCGACGGTTATCGCGAAAACCGAGAAATCGAACGCGTTGCTTCCGAGAGTTCTGAAGTTGTCGAGTTTGGCGAGTTGATAATCTGTGTTCGCCCTGAAACTCTGAGAAGCGCTCCGATTATGGGAATCTTTAGTCAAACATCCAATCATCGCACGCGGACAGAGGAGGCTATAGCAGGGAGGAACGAGAACGGCACAGTTCACCTCCGGCTGACTGTTGAAGGCCATGAGTCGAAGGAACAAGCCTCCATGGACACTCAGCGAAACGTGGAGCTCGAAGACGTCGTCGGCAGAATTCTCGACAACGGCGAGGTCAACGAGCAATTGAGCCACGAAATCACAGACTTGGAACAGGAAGCGTTCGAGTTCATCCTGGAATACACACCGCCGGATTACGCGCTATGGACCCTTGACCAGCGATTCGTTGTCCTACCCCGCCAGCTGTGGCAGAGTTCCCCGACCCTGATGGAGTTTTCCCCGACCGGAATCAAGTACTACTCTGTGCTTTCGGCTTCCCTGGCAGTGGAAAACCTGAAGAATTTGGCCCTCCTGAAATGCTTCCCTCGTGATCTGTCCAACGTGCTCGAGCTCATCGCACTGGTGAAATGCCTGGAGATCCAACCGTTGCTGAAATTGTGCTACGATCATTTCTGTGCGGGCTCGGCATTTCATAACTATCAGACCGTGACAATTTGCGCAGCCATCCCGCCGATGTCGTGCTCTCGCAGCTCTATCTTAACGCTATGGGAGCTGATTTGCGCGTCGCCGATGCGCACCAGACCTGTCTACCATCAGTACTTCAAGCTGATCCAGGAATACTGCAGGGATCCGGATTTCGTCGGCAAGGCAAGAACTATCTTGAAGTTGAGATGTAAGGAGTACGCGGCATCGCAGCTAGACGCCCTGCCCATTGAATTCAGCCGTGGCTCTGTTCTTACGGGCCTATTCTTGGTTGGCGGTGTCCTGAAGACGGCTGTGTTCAACATGGGGACGCCGCATTGGGCCGAGATTATCGGGAGCGCGTTCAGAAAAGACCGCCAGACGACGATCCGTGACTACTTCCTCGTTTATAATCGCTATATAATTTATCGCGACCAGTACGCCGACGTGAGTTTTAAAAAGCTCAGCGCGGATATCCAAGCGGTTAAAATCGCGAGTAACATCACCCAGTTTCTCCACAAGAGCGGACACTTGTTCCTGGTCGGCAAGAACTGGGCTGAGCAGCGAAATCAAATTTTCAAATGGGGCGGGAGCGCTCTTTTCGAACTGAAACCCCTCGAACCGATGGGCGAGCGGATGGACTTCAATCCAGACAACGGCATTGTGTGCTACGAGAATTCCCTGAGAGATCGCTTGTGTTTGGACTATTTCCGGGATACACTCCTGATACCCTGCCGTCGGATAGAGCATGGTTGTCTTCATATGTTCGCTTTTTATCAGAAGGAACTTTACGTTTGGGGTAAGCACATGAATAAGGTTTACGATAGCGAAGGCCGACCGAGTGGTTATGGTAGGGTTCCAGATATCAGTCGGAATGTTACGGAGTGTAAGGTTGCCAACGGAAACCTGTACATGAGGACGTTCGACGGCTGGTGGTCTCACAGAGACGGTCGCCTCCACAAATTCTGTGCGGGGCTCCAACTTTTAGCTTTCGAAGAAGTCTCCTTCAATCCTTATCTTGTGAGAATTTATGATGGAGAGGCTTCGAGGTAGATTGGACAGGCATTGGTGCTCGGAGTCCCTAAGTAAGGATGTGAGATTGGTTGCAATAAAATGAAAAGCATATAGACAATGTAAGAACTGAATTCTCGGAGACCATCCCACTTGTTCTTCCTAACAGGCTTCGGATCCTCAGCGATCCAGCTATCCGCATCACACCATACAGGTCTCGCTAAAAAAAGGGAGGTTTGGGCTCGGGAATAGGTACCTCCAGATCGATGGAATCCTCGCAAAGCTGTACTCTTGTGAAATGCTCTCTACTATGTTCCCGCTCAGAGTGGGGCTTGAGCTCAGTGAGAGTTGGATTAGAATCGGTGAAGCCTGACTCGAGGTTCAACATTGGACAATTGTCTTGTCAATCAGAGAATCGTCGCATGAATCGATTTCCTGAACGGAACACGGCGGAATCTCCATATTCGCGGTAGCCACGACGTGTTTCCCGAATCGTATGACGCGTCGGAGCGACGGCGATCGTAGTGTCACGCGGCGATCGTAGTGTCACGCGGCAATGAGTTCCGCCTTACAGCACGAGTCTCGTGCTCTCCGGTATGCTCCTGATAGGGGTTCCGTACGCCGATCATGTCAAGCAGTGCTCTCCCCTCACGGCCAGAAGATAAGACGCAAAACCATCGCCAGAGGACGGAAGAATGTCTATGCGCTGCCGACGGTCCATAAACGAGAATATTTCTAGACGTCGCTAGAATTCCTCCGAGGAAAGCGCCGTACCCGTGGAGTTCGCACAGGAAACCTTTGAAATTCAAGATATATCCTTCGAGGAAACCTTGATACTGATTCCGGATAGCATTCGGTTCCGTCTCTTGAGACCCTTCGATCATCCTCTTCCGAGTTTCTATGTATCCCTTTCAGGGACCCCCAAGTATTTCACCCAAGAATCTGGCTCCCCAGAGCCTAATGCGAATGACCCCCTCCGACGACCCCTGATTTCCGACTAGAGCTTCGCAAACCCTCGAGGGACTCCCTCGATGTTGCCGGAAAGACGCGAGGGCAGGACCGTGCCGAGAATTTTTTTCTGGGGAGGGGGGGCACGGCCATTGTCTTGGTAGGGACCAACCACCGATGATGATGAGTCTCAAGATTGAGGCTTACGTGGGGGAGAGAGATCTTCGGGCGGGGCATGGCCCCTGAGGGTTTGATCGTCTCTGTAGGCCGCGACGATTCGCAGCTCATCCAAAGCCGTTTACAATTTACTGTACCCGGATACAGTAAATGTATCGAGCACAAACAATTCGCGGCTGACCGTCCCGCGCCTTTTCGCGTGGACTCTACTGTGACGCATTCGAGTCCTGCTTGTTGAGGGATTCGTCTTCCATCGATTCTCGAACCAGATTTCTCACAGTCTTACACTCATCAATGAATCTCGACAGCGGAAGACTGGGATCAAGGGATGGCTCAGGTTACGTGAGACGTCGCACCTTACAGTTACGTAAAATAAGCTCTATACGTGACGACATACGCGGTTGGTTATTCGGGGCCAACGGTGTTTCGTCTTGGACTACGCCGTCGCGACGGCCTCACCGTATCGTGCTCGTCATCGGTTGCGATCTCACGTGAAGATAGACCGATAAATAGTGGATCGCTCTGTCGTACGCAGTGCCGAGCAATAACAGAAATGGGGGTCGAGTGTCGGACCTTCCGTCCTCTCGCCCGGAACATTCCCGAATATCTGTAAGGATCCGAGATCCCTCTATGTGGGAATGCAATATATTCTCAGACCATTAATTCAGCGGCAGATCTATTCTTCGAGTGACCAGTACCGTCTCGCGAAGAGCCTCTGTCCTGCTCCCCTTATCTCTTACGTGTGTGCACCGTCGGCTACGAACAAAGACATCTATTTCGTGACAAGTAACATGGATAGGACGTACCGACGCGATACGCTGCTTTTAAAGGATGTTGAATTCGGTTCTATCCTCTTCGAGCCTGGAATCTCTCAGGTTTCCGAAGCTTCGAAATCTCTCTCGCGCACGCGACAGTCTCTCTCTATTCCCAGTGATTCACTAATGCAGTGATACCTCAATCAACGCACGTTCTGCAGAACGAAAATTCCGGATAAGAAACCCTAGTTCTCCTCTCTTTACTTCTCTAGAACGGGGTTGATAGCGAAATTCTTGATTCGGAGAACCTCGCCTAGAATTCCGGAGTCACATTTCGGTTGATCCATGATTTCTTTTTTTTTCTCTGTGATGGCCACGGAATTAATATTCCGCCACTCCCCGCTCTGAACGACCAATTCGACGATTGAGTGTCAGGTGCGAAAGCGTGCCACCGAGTCAACAATGACATCGCGTTATATAATGTGAAAAGATCTTGGATGACGAGCTTTTCTGTCAGCGGAGAATCGATCGAGCTTTCAATACTTTCGATCGATCATTTACTATCACCAGACAAATCATAGATTTCCCCACTTAAGCGTGAACGCTCTCAATTTCAATCCTTACTGGGTGACTTCCGGACGGTTGTCGGGGATTAGGATTCGATCGGATTGCTGATTTTACAGCATCCGAATGATCGATGCTCATCGCAAGACGCAGCTCCAGCTAGCGAGGAAGTCTGGACGTACGATCGTGAGCTTTTGATTCTCCTTCCGAGCTCATGGCAGTCAAGGATTGAAGCGAAACTCCCAGCGATTCGAGGGTTTCGGGTGGCATACAGGTGGATACCAAAAATACGGCCTGCCTCACCGTGGGCTGAAGGAGACTCTCGGTGGATTCGCTTGACGGAGCATCTAGCTTTATCAGGAATCCAACCTTTTCGCCTAATCTTTTCCCCCTCAGTGGCACTGACCGGAAGGGAAGATTACGTCCGTAATGGCACCGAGACCGAAGTTCGAGACCTGAGGAGTGAGATCTTCTGGATTCGATGTGAGGACCGATCATGATTCAGGAGTACGACTTCCGCCGCGACGTTGTCAGGTTCTCTGCGCAGCGAGGACGCATGAAATTCTAGAGACGACACCGGGAAGCCGAAGAGAAGGTCGGCGTCATGTCCGACAACAAGCTAGATGTGATCACCATGGTGCGATCCACATCGTGATGATCAGGAGCATCTCTGGAGCAACTGAAAGAGCGACTACCTAATGAAACGAGTGACATTTCTGTCAATCATGGAAACCGATGGGATTCCCGATCATTTGACTCCCAGAGTCCACCATAACTTCCGTATCGCGTCATTCCAAAATAAAGTGGAGATGAAAGGAAGCCCTCAGAGTAAGATGAATGTGATGATTTCCCCTCGGTTCTCCAAAGTAGGTAAGTTCTGGGCCTGCGAGAACAAAAAAGATCTCACAATGAGTGAAGTTGAAATTTCACTCTTCCCGATGGTAGCTCCCTTTTCTCCGATGGTGGCCTCGGCGGGATGGCTGTAAGTCTCAAAGGATCCAGTTCCTGGCATCCAGCCTGAACTGAGAGGATAACCGATCGTCTCTCCGAATGACTCCAACGCTCTCTCATAGAACTTCGCGAAAGTAGTCTGAGTATGGGTCGTTTCATCATTTTCGCACCCAATAAATTTTTCGAATCGTCTCCGTGAAGTCTCGAAGAGGATCGAGCCGGAACGTTCTAAATTCGGGTGGACCTCGGGACCCCATAACGACCGGAGTGTAGTCCGCTGTAGTATCACTGGAATCACGACAAGTCGTCGTAGCCTTCGATTTCGCTTCGGCCAGTTTTCTCCCTTGGGAGGAGGCATGGACAATGCAGCTGAATTTTGCGGGCTTGAACCGCAATCAGTACGCGGGTCTTCAGGAATTCGCGAAACCGGCCGATGAGTCACGATGCTCTAACCGTTGGAGTGGGTGAGACATTATACTCCTACCTGCCCGATGCCGAGATCGATCGATGGGACTCATCACCGTCCTGATCCTCAGGCTTCAGACCTGCATAATGTTGTGCATACGAAAGCTTCCTATGCTCTGTCTGGAGTAATTCTGAAGACATACTCGCTGTCGCCGGACCCTCAGGGGTGTCGTCTTCAACCGACGGGGAGCTCAGAAGCCAGATCAACTGCCTTCTGACCTGGGAGAAGAAGAAATGAGATGAAAGATCGAGCCGAAATCTGGCCTTCAGCCCCCGCTCGATCGGCACTCCCCATTACCGTGACCACCGCTCTTCCGTATTCCCGAATTATGCCGCAATCCTCACTGCTCGAAATCGGATGTTGTCGCAGGTTCCGCGCAGCGAAATGTCTGCGGTATCGGCAGTACCGGAGACCCTGACTCCCAGTCTCCCACCGTGACATTTCGGCCGACACGTTTATTGACGGATCAATCCGGCCGAATCTATCACCGCAGATCTCGATACGATCTTCGCTCTCAATCTCCGTCCTGAGCCCTATGGGTACTGAGCCATCCATGGCTGGTAAAACTATCAAGGGAGTAAAATTTCCGCGCGTTTCCCTGCGAATTTCCGCTTACGCACTCACCGATCTCTTGTCCTCAAATCTCTTCTGACCGCGGCTGAGGTCTCGAGGCCGCTACTGAAGCGACCGTCTGCCGCGCTCGAGACTTCCGAAAAAAAGGTTCCTGGCTCGTCTAGCTCGGAAACGCAACTTGAGCTCTGACTCATTCCGGCTCTCTCTGATCGAGAGCTGACATTGTTGGCGCCGAAGATCGATAAACTGAGTGTGTAGGCGAGCATGTACAACGAAAGGCGGAGCAGAGCCTCCGCAGGTAGTTTTTGCCCTTCTCTATCTTGATGATCTGTTTTGGACACGGAAAATGGACTCTACGTAGGTGGAGGCTGCTTCATAGTCTCAAACGCTTAGTGCCACGAATCAGAAAAGATCGACATGACATATGCATGGACTTCAGTGCTGGACTTCATCCGGAGTCGAAGGCCAGATATTCTCCTCGGAACACCTCACCTGCGAGAATCATACCGCCTTTCGAGGATATCTCAGAATTGACTGTGCGAAAATAGGACTTAGCGCCGAAGTGCCTTGAGAAACGAGGTCGGGAATGAACTCTTTCTTTGAGAGTTAATCACGATTCTGAAATATGTCTCTGAGATCGTTCTGATCAGGAAGACGGCGAAGCGCAAAATCTCGGAAAATATCCGGTCGAGGTCCGATTATGCAGAGTCCATAATGGACCGGCTCCCGCTTCACCGTTCCAGGGAAAATAAAGCACAGACACCGATTTTTCCCCGTATCTACTCGTTTGCTATGATCACGGACTTGGGGGGACATCGAGAGACGGCATCGGACCCCCAGGTCAAGAGAATCGTCATCGGGCCCCAGCATACTCATGAATACAGTATGAGGGAAAATCCAAGAGAGACTGATTCGGGAAGAAAGGTCCCCGCATTAGTCCGAGTGGAATGTATGATACTCCGAGAGAGAATAAAAAAATCTGACATGAGATCGATGAATCATAGCGAAAGAAATCGGAACCATCGCGCGAAAAACACGGACCTCGATCGCGGCCGAGATAACCGAGAGTAGCTCCGAGCTCGATTCATGGGCATCCCTGGAATTATCAGAAGCCTCTGCGCTTCGACCCGCCGCCGTTGCTAGCTAGTAGAAGTCAATAGACGAGAGAACTTGAGACAAGTACGTCTTATCATCGAGAAATTGTAACGCACACCTCCCCAACGAACATCCTTTCCAGCGACCGCGGCGGCCACGGATTGGACTTTCGCAGATGATGATTCGATGAACACGCTCCAAGGCAACAGCCACAGCGTTCCGTTGCCGGAGATGGTTTGGGGAACCTTCTCGCTCAGCAACCTCCTTCCCCGACTCCTATTCAACAACGTTGCGGTCCTCACACCTCCAACGTCCACGGCATACGTACTTAAACACGACGGACTCAATACACTTCCATGGTCGGACTGTGGACAGCATCAGCATCGGTCGCATCCGTTTGAGCCTCAGCAAGCGCACTTTTCAAGATCTCGTCTCTCGTTGTGTGGTGACGCCAGTGGTGAGGTCGATTGTGCGGAGACAGAGCAACTCAGAGAAACGTGCAAGACTCTACTCTGTGAGCCGGGGATGGCGTCGTCGCGTAACTACTCGAATTGGGCCCTCCACAACAGTGGCATGGAGGCGTCACTGAAATCCGGATACATGGCCGAAGATAGTTGTGAAACTACAACTACTTCGCTAGCCCAACACATCAGGCAGCGTTCGACGTCGGCGCGCCAGTTCCTGAGTTCGTATAACTCTTCGATCGAGTATACGACTTACCTGAACTGGCATACGCTCAGCAGCGATCTCAGCGAGAAAATTCGCCAAGGCTCCCTCCGGGTTAATCGCAATAACGCGGTCGAGTATGCGACCATCGACGAGGAAAGAGCTCACGGGGACAAAGTTCCTCTTCTTCGACGAGTGCAATCAACGAATGTTCAAGGTGAGTTTCGGTAATCATCGTTTGTTTCCGGCGCTGATGCGAGCTGCCAAGGGAAAATGTATCTCCTGACGCGTCGCCTCAATCGATGTATGCGGGTATTTTTCTTCCAATGCCCTTCATGCCCGACTTAGTCTGCCCACCGGGATCTCAGAGCTCCTTCGCTACAATTCTCGGAAACCAATCACTGATTCCACGCGTCGTCGCTTTTCCCGCGCACATGGATGTGAACGATCGATCGCTAGTTGCGGGACTACGCTTACTGAACGAGAAGTCGATGTCAAAGGGGGATAAAACCTGATCAATGAGACCTCGGACGACTTTGGAGCGATTTCACTCGCAATCCTCGGCCGAATCCCCCATGAAATCGGGAGAATCTCGAACTGCAGATGCTTTAAGGGTCCGGGAGCTTAGTGTAGTGAATTATTCGGAGGCTTTCCGGGCGAGCACTAGAATTTTTCAAAATAAGTATCGTTGACCGCTTTGGCTCGGAACTTAATTTCCGACGTGATCAGCGCTTTTGTTCAGGGACGGATTCGGGCAGTCTTACGAGTCTCAGTCGTGCTCCTCTCGGCTGTACCGAGAGTCCGATCGGAGCGACTCGAGAATATTCAACTGAATTTTCTATTTTGGTCGAGCACGGACTTCGCAGTAAAGTTGATCATTCTATTGAGGCTCACTGTGAAAAGTTAGTTTTCGCGTCGCTCCCGGCGATCGTGAACGTAAGAAAAATCAGACACAGTTAGTCCCGAGCTTGTTCGATGCCTCAGAGCGGAATTTGGTTGACTCGGCTCGCTGTCCGGCGCCACCAATGCCGAAGGAATCATGTATGTAGATCATCTTGGCGACAACACCTTTGGAAATTTCGGCCCGTACAAGTCTCGGTTCTGCGGGAGACCCGTTAACGTGCGGCATTCTACGGCGGGCACGAATGCGACCTTGCCCTCTAATCACTGAAGATGAGTCATACGAATACACATTCCGATCGTTCTCGAATACTCGTGTTTGAAATCCGGAAAGCGGGCTCGCATGAGGCCTGCCTTCCCGTCTCGGCTCTAGACAGCTATTGAGAGATATCCGAGCTCAGGAAACCAATTTCTTCTTTCAGGGATCTCATGGGGAGTCGCAGCATTCCTTTTGGTCAACACAGCGCTCGGAGCTGGTGTTCTCAACTATCCGTCCGCGTACGACAAAGCCGGCGGCGTATTGACGGCGACCATCATTCAGATCGTGAGTTTGCGTAAACTTGAGAATCGTATCACTGGTCGTGTTCTACGCACACCACAGATTGTCGGTAGATAGCGATACTTACACAATACTTGTTGTTTGGCTAAGAAATTAGGCTGGATCGGACGCGTCCCACGGAATCATCGTGTCCCTTATTATTCCGAAGGGGGACGTCTTATCGTCTGGGACCCGTCCCGGTCTAAAGCCGAATTCCCGATTGAGGAAGTCGAATACTCGTACTGACGACTGAATTTTTCCCACAGATAATGATGTTTTCGCTCAGTGTGACAATGATGGTACTCGCCTATTGCTCGGACGTGAAAGGCGATTGTACATATCATGACGTCCTGATGACAACCGTCGGCCGGAAGGCTCAACAGTTGGCCGCAGCTTCTATACTTGTGACCTGTTATGGCGTTTCCATAACATTCCTCATCATCATAGGAGACCAATATGACAGACGTGAGTACTATGGCCGCCCCCCGAGTGACTTCTCCGATTCGATGCACACTCCTCGGTCGAAGCGATTGCTCGCTATACAAACCCAATTATTTGCTTACGATTCGTATATTCCTCGTGCGCATGGTCTGACAAGGCATTCATTGAATTTCAGTTTTCTTGTCGTTGTTCGGTGATGACTTCTGCCAGAATGTTTTTCTGTCGAGAGAGTTCACAATCGCCGTAACCTCAACTCTGTTCATCCTCCCGATCTGCTATTTCCAGAGGCTCGACTTCTTGAAATACGCCAGGTGAGTGGAGTCTATCCCTTCTTATACTCGAGTACCATTTCGACGCTCGTGGGAAAATATTCCGAGCTCGTTTGTTTCAATCAGAAATCCCCTTTTCCAGCTCTCTCGGGATCTTCGCTATGCTTTACCCCGTCTTCCTGACCATCTATGTTTACTACACCCAGGATGTCCAGCCTGTTTTCCGAGAGATCTCTCCTGAGTAAGCGGATCGAGCGTCTTCAGAGCTCATGCATTATCGGTTGTGAAAGTCCCAGATTGCTCAATGCTCCGAAGATCGTATCCCTGAAATCATTCATCGGAATTCCTCTTTGCAGTTCGCCGCAATCCTTCATGGAGTTCATCTCTATTGTGCCCGTGATCTGCTTCGCTTACCAGACACACGAGGTCTTGCTGCCGATCTATGCCAACATGCGAGAGCGTAACATCAACTCGCTCGTGAAGACCACCAGTTGCTGCATGCTCATGCTTTTTGTCATCTACTCCGCCATGGGAACTTACGGATACCTGACTTTCGGTTCTGGTGTCAAGCCCGATATCATGCAGATGTTCGACGGACAGCGTCCTGAGGTCTTGATTGGTACGTTTCTAAGAAACTTTTGCGTAGGGCGAATGTCACCCGATTCGAGGCTTATCTCGTTTTACGCTTCGTTGCATATGTTGCGGTGTGAGCCGGAACTGTCCACGAAACGAAACAGCTCTACTTGACTGGGGAGAAAAGACTTCTTCGCTCAGTCACCCGACTCGGCGCTGATGGTCTCGCAACGGTACACCCATGGAGTCGGAAAATTTATGTGGGAAAATGTTCTCCGCAGGAATCGCTGCTCTCATCATCAAGATGATCACTTCGTACCCCCTGATTGTGATTTGCGGACGCGGAGCTTTCGACGGACTCTACGCGGAAATCTTCAAGATCCCCACCGAGGAATTCATCGCCAACGAGAAACGTCGACGAATCATCATCACCACCTTGTGGTTCGTGACGACCACAACGCTAGCTGTCACGCTTTCGAATATTGGCGTCGTCATCGAGCTTTTGGGCTGCTTGGCCTGCGTCAATGTTTTTGTGTTTCCCGGTAAGTTCTCCATCAGGCTATAATGAAAGTACACATCTGCAATTGTGCTTCCAGTCGACGGCCAGCCTCGCGAAACTTCGAGAGGAGAATTTTCTTCTTGTCGGCCCGAGAAACGCGTCGCCTTTCTGACGGCAGAGCCGGTCACGTGCTGAGTGAAAGCAACTCTGGTTGTTGGGATGTCGGCTCTTCAATCTCTATGCCGCCATTTGATGCTGGCCGACTTGGTTCCATGAGGCGGACGGAGGTCACTGCGGAGAAAGAACAGCTCCTATCTTTAGCACTACCGGGTTCACCAGTTCGTCGTTCGAGAATATTCAGGATTCCTTGAATCTCATTCGATAATCATCATTTCAGGACTCTGTCTCGTCGGAATGTACTGCAAGCGCAGACATTTCGGTCTTAACTACCCCAACATGATGCTCGCCGGCGGAATAATTCTCATTGTGATGGGAACGGGTCTATTCCCGCTCGTCCTCTACGAGTCGATCCGGAATTGGACCTCGGGTTCTGGACATCACCTGCTGTGCACACACTGATCGCCCGAGCTTTTAAAGTTTTGTATATTCAATCGACGGCGTGCGATCTGTACATTTCTTCATCGCTTTCAAATAAATATGTTGCATAAACCATGTCGAACGAAAGTTGCCATCCGGACTCATTCATCCAGCAATCAGCTCGAGGGACCGATAATAATCTTCGCGGGAGGCTGCGGCAAAATCTCCCCCCGGCTAATCGGAGCCACGGTCTGCGAGAAATTCACCAGGAGGTTACGACTGGAATTTATTTCATTCCTCTATCGCTTCGAAATGGAGCCGAGTCAATGCTCAGTCGCGGCCGATATTGTGGGTCTCTTTCGGTTGATCGATTCTGACGAGTTTCTCAGCGACGTTGAAGAAACACTCGTACTCCACCTCCTCGGGAGTTGTATCGTAGTGATAGTGGCCACCGACACCGTGAGTGCTGAAACAATGCGTATGGTCGATTCTCAAGTCCCATCCGGGATCGCAAGATGACATTACGGATAGACAGATTAAGGGAGCAGGGAACTCGAAATATCGAAGCCACTGGTCGACGTCGTCGTCGCTCTTCAGAGGCACCGTGGAGAAATCCGGCTGCAATGAATTTTTCCCGCTTGAATTTGTATCCGGAGCTCACCCTAAAGATATCTCGGAATTTCGTGGGATGATTGTGACTTCGACTTCGATGACGTCGAATATAAGCTCTTAGATTTTCCTGTGCAGCAGAGCGACACCTACTCACCATAATATGAAGTTTTGCTTTCCCCTTCTTGATGAGAAAAACGCCACCCAAACCGACAGGTTTCTCGGGTCCGAAGGCTTCCAATAAGACCTTTCGGATCGCTGCCGTCAGATTATCCTTGCCGATCCGACGTTTCAAGCTGAGGTGGAGAACGCTCCCGGGTTGGCCCTCCGAGAGGAATAAATTGCTCATGAGACCGAAATCTGAAGAGTCCTGCGGCACCTTCTCCATAAGATGCCCTCCTGATTCAGTGATCTTAGCGTAATGAGTCTCGTTGCGTCGACTCGTCCCGCATCTAATGTTCGGCATCAGCTGCAAGTTCGAGAGATGTAGAGAGTGACGCGTCCAATTTCTGATTCGACGACACCTCGCATGGTGAACGAAAATGCACTCGACCCATGACAAGACAACTAGTTTCTGACCTCGGAGTTCGAACCGACGACATGGAAAGGTCCCGCAGCTGCGCCCACGAAGAAGCCGTCAGGAACTCCGGCGAGATTCGCGATCTGCACGATATCAGGAATATGTTATATAAGAAGCATATCAATGAGCGCGAAAATGAAGTACAAGAGAAGGAAAATTTGTTGAGAAGACATGGAAACTTTTCATTATCAGGGACGCAGCAATGGAAGCTATGAGGAATTCGAAAGTACCTCCTGGAAGTTATACTTCTTCGCCGGATTGTACAGCGGCACAAGGTATGGAACACCTGTGAATAATGTTTCGCCCCGTGAATGCTCCGCTCATCATTGCCTGGAACTCTCCTCTTGATGCAGTCTTGAGGATCAACGAACACTGCAACACTCAAGATTTACAATCGGGAGGAAAACTCGACCTCCTACGTCGCAAATTCTCGGCGAGCCGCCTAATCCCTCAGCTGCCAGATGGAAAGGTTCTTTGGTCAAGTCGGGACAACTGACAACGGCTGCAGAAATCTCGGCGAAATCGTTCGCCAATCCTTTCTGGAGAACTGTGGGGCGAAACGGGTACATGAGAAATAATTCTGAACCCGTCGATGACAATCGTCTCGAGAAGGCTGGCCCACGGTCCTGGCCGCTCGACTGACCATCAGCAACCTCATGGAGGTCAGGGACATGATAGCTGTGCATCTTGACGTCCATGGTTCCAGCGGTGACAAGCGCAGAAGCGGTTTCGGGAATCGAGATGGCTCTCCGGGTCGAGCGCTGTAAGAATTGTTCCGACGCTTGAATATTGATGTCGACGTCGGAACATCTTCCCCACCATTGACATCGACGTGGCTCTGCGCGCGGCGCGGCCGGTGGCAGAGCGGAAACTTGCATGCTCGTATTCGGCCACGTCGCGAGAAACAAGGAGGATCGGCATGGAGAGAGATGCGGATCATTTGCGGTTCCCAGAAGGGGTCCGCAATTTGAGGGATCCGAAAACCACGCGCGAACAGAAATCGTCGGGGGTCCATTTTAGGATGTAATTTCGACCGCTCTCCCGAGCTTGAATACGATGGCCCACCCATAGATCCTGGGTTGGCGACGAGGGCTCTGAGTACGCGCTCGCTCATTAGTCTTACCAAAGAATGTCCTCCGTTTGTTGCTCTATCCGCGAACTCCGACAAGATTTGTTGTCGAACGACGGCGTCGATTGCGGTACCGTGCGAGCAGACGCTACAAATCCACCGATTCGGCGCTCTTTCGCCACAAACGGAACCGCTATCTGCGAGTGGGAGCGTCATTCTCGCGCGACGCGACGCGGCAACACGGCGGCCGAGCATCGAGCCATACCCCTGTAGCGCTGCCTTAGAGCGACCCCCTGATATCGATCTCATTCGCTGCGCTCATTATTATTCATCCATTCCGCACCAACCCGAGTTCGCACCGTTTTTCTCTGCATGGTTCATGATTCGCTCCATCCATGGGGGCTGTGACTGTCCGTGAATGCAAGACGGACCACTTGCGACCGGGTTATGTTCTTCCGACCGCTCCCGCAAGTACATTCCGAATGGTATTCTGCCGTTCCTCTCGACTTCTACGTCCCATGAATATTTCCGAGTACACCCGCAGAGATCACCGATATTGAGAGGGAGACGAAGAAACAGCCTCTCGGAGTTTGCATGAGATTTCTCAAGATCCTTGGTCTTCCCTCCAGAGCGATCTCGATCAAAATCTATGGGAAATCAGCGATTGAGGAATCGGGAGTTCTCCACGTTCGATCGGGGGATAGAGGCCGACTTCTGGTGTTTATCGAAGTGCTCCGATGTACATACACATTATTAGGGCTGGGAAGTTGGCGCGATCGCGTCAAAAGCCGTGAATTTTCACGATATTTTCAATTTTCAGGCGATCCTCCATAGGAAGTCAATGGGGGGTGAAAATTGCCGTGAATTTCCGGGAGAAATGCCGTGAATCATTCGGTTGGACCCCCCGTTTATCCGATTTTCCAATTAGGTATACGATTATTCAAGAATGTCGGTCTTTATTTCGGATAGTTCTTCTGCGCATGCTCAGGCTCCTCGACGGTACCACAGTCATTGTCTTTCAGGTTGGAGACCTCTATCCACAGGCGACTTCGCTATCTATTTACAATGATCTCGACACCCGAAATTCTGGTGAATCTAAATTACAATTTACAGTGACACAGTTTCTCATACGGTTGGCCTCTCGCGCACTCGGAATGATCGCTATACCTATCCACGCGATCGAAGTCTGACAGGATCCTCCACTCGAACTCCGATGGATCCATCAGTTCCCCTGTCACCTCGAAGCGTGCGTACGGCTCCATCTCCACGGAAATTTTGAAAAAGTCCGTCCAGTCGGCGCCTTCGGACAGTCTAATGAAATCCACGATTTTATCCAGTCTGAAATCACTGCAGTTGGTCGCTTCGGTCTCTCTCAAACGTAAATTGATTTTCTCCACGAGGAGCTCTCCCATAGACTGCGCGGGGCGAGTGCTCGCGTTCATGGCATGATAATTGTAACAGGCGCAAAACTCGATGTCGATACCAGCCTCTTTGCAGGTACGCTCGTTCGGGATTATAGTGCTAAAAATACTGAAACCGTTCGCAGTGCGAATCAATCTGTCTTCGTCCCAGACATCGGCCAATTCCAGAAGCGACGCATGCATATCGATTGCCGTCAATAATCGTCTAGAGTTGATATCCATTATTTTCTTTGCGTTTGGATAGGCCGTGTGAAATCGATCCGGCATGAGGATGAAGGCAAACGGCAACATGTCCTCAAGACGTCCTTGTGGAGTGTAACGGAAACTGTCGAAGCGCATTCCGTGATCCGAGATGAAGAATACCGCCGTATTGTCCAAGATCCCGTCATCGGTCATCTTCGTGAAGAAATCCAAGAGATATTCATCGACGAGTTGACCTCCATTGATGTTGTCGTGAGCAACCTCGCTGAGCCATCCGTAGGTGAAGAGAGGTCTCTCGCTGCCCGAGATTTTGAACAGCTGGTGAGTGTAATCCAGATAGAGTTTTGCGGCAACGTCCGGTCCCACGCAGTTCCCTTGTTTCAACGAAGATTTGTCGATTGCTTGCATGAGTGGGCGAGGCCAGTAAGTCGTGGGCTCCTATCGAGGAGGAACGTTTTTCAATATCTCCGTCGAGGATCGACTCGGGATTGGGGGAGCCTTGCTCAATCATCTGATCTAGACTATCAACTGTCCTATATTCTGAGGATTTTTATGAGCTGATTATGTCCTAGACTGTGATCGGCTCATCATTTTATGGATTCTCAGTGGCTCAAGTCGAACCGGCAACTTACGCGTAAGAAGCCGCTCAGTGGCGGATACAGGAACAGTCCGTAGATCCATTGCTCTTCATAGAACATCGTACGGTAGCCTCGAGAGCCGAGATCGTCCCAAAGGAATCTCGTCAAATTGTCGAAATGCGCATTCGAAGCGCGAAGATTCAGCCCGATCGGATACGGGTTCTTGAAAGGTATGCCGGTGATCAGAGGTATTTGGTTGGGCGATGAGTTAACACCGATCTTATTGTAGCCGAATAGCTCAACAAGATTCTTTTTCCCCTTCAAATAGGCGATTGTTTTCGGGAGCTGGCGGTGAGCGTTAAGCCGCGACACGGAATCAAGGCCTAGAATGAGCACGTGGAGCGGCTTCTGGCCCAAATTGTTCTCTCGGATTGTTCTATCCACGGGCTTCACCTTCGGCATGAAAAGTGGCTGTTCGTAAGACTTGTTCGACACTCCGCACTGGATCCAGAGATATTCCTCTGGCGGGCAATCGTCAACCCTCAGCGGTTTCGGGTCTCCGAACTTGTGGTAATAATCGATCTTGATATGACTCAGATCCCTCTGGGTTTCCATGTAGGTACAATTGTCGAGCTCAAAGCGATCGGAGTAGAATTTTTTGTATTGGGTATCGTCGACCCCGATGCACGAAAACCCGCCAGTCTGATTGAGTTTCGGATAGAAGATGAACGGCTCCACGTCTTTTGAGCATTTTCTTGGAGGTTTGCTATAATATTTCTTCAAGACATTGGGTTCTTTGAAGTCGTAATTCGGTATGTGGCATTTCGCAGTGTACAGGATGAATTTCTCTTGGATCTCGGTTAGATTGAGTTCGTCTTGAGCTTTCACTTCTCGTTTGGTCGTTGACCGGCTCAGGGGAACGCTCGTGATTCCTTCGAGAAGCGAAATGCGGGGAGGAGATTCCGGAAGACTCCTGTTCACCGCATTCCCGACCCCGACCAAGCATATTTCTCGATCGGTGAACCGGATCCAGTAAAGACAAGAGATGCACACGAGAGTGAGGATCAATATCAGAGTGTATCGTATATCGCAAGCTCCCGCAAGTCGTGTCTTCGAAGTTCTGAAACAGTAACGAAAAATCAGCCTCCAGCCTGCTACCTCTGGAAAAGGAGAATCGCGGCTCCCCAATGCGAGCGAGATAGGACGCTGCCGATATAGCGAGCGGGGAAACAAGACATTCTCACGAAGCATCTCCCACATGGTAGTTTTTGAACTCACTCATGATCTGCACGCATGAGACGATATTGCGTCATTGTACCTCCTTTCCCTAGCTGGTATCTGGAATGGAGGGTGCCATTTAGAATGTCGAGTTCCGCAAGATTCGATTGATCTTCCCCGAGCTATATCGACAAAAGGCTCCGACCACTTTGGTTGGAGGATTTCGCATGCCTAAGAGACTTCCCCACAGGGCTCGAGTTCCGGGCAGTTTTCGTTCTCCCACCTGTTTTGCGACGGAAAGAGTCCGAAAACGGCCATTTCTTAATGCTTTGAAGGACCGTAAGGTCCTCTCTAGAGTTTTCCTTCAGACCGGAAAACATTCGAAATCCGGCATAATGAGAGAGAGTTTCACTCGAGGGTGTTTCTTTTCGAACGTCGCTATCACAAGCGTTCCGAAACTTGTCCCCGTCGGATCGGATCTTTCAGCCATGTGACGGGACTGTTTGGAGCCTGTCTCCGGGAGATTAGAAATGGAACTTCGCATATTCGGGAAAGGATCGGCAGGAAACGTCTGGAGATACCGGGTCAAACGGACCCGACAGAATCTGACACTTCTCCGAAGCCTTCATAAGCATGCTTCCGCGGGCGGATTTTCATTGCGATGAGCCGCAGAAGAGGAGTCGATCTCAGCCGAATCAGACTTCGAAATTCAGCAGAAGAGACGGACAAATAAGTGATGACTGACCTTCTTAGTCTCTGACTGACGAACTTCATCTCCCGGCGGTCTAGAGAACATTGATCCGTCGGGAACCTTTTCCAATCCGATCACATGGGGTTGGTATCCGCCTTGCTCGTCGCACCGCGGACTGTATCCTCGCTCCTTCTGGCCTCTGAAGCACATGAAAATCGCGGATCAGATTAGTTCTTCCCGCCTTCCTTGGTGCTTCATGCTCGTCATCGAATAGCGCGTCTGTTCGAGACGATTCCACTGATTTCAGAGCTGGCTTCTCTAGTATCCGCTTCCTACTTCGGAAAAGAGCTCTCAGCAGTCTTCCGTGAAGTCGCAGTTGTGTCCTGGACTTGGCTGCTTTCGTCATCCGGTATTCCAAATTTTGTCTCGAGCTCGGAGGACCCTCAGTACACAGCGCAGACGTTTGCGAAGTTGGAGTTGGTGGGTATGATACGGACACTCAACGTCTCTCCGAGAAAGCAGTGGAGCAACAGAGAACGTCTCTCGAGAAAACGCCTCGGACCAGATCTACAATCAAATCCGCCACGCCTCGCATGCGGATTGAGACTCCATCTACCACATTCCGTTCCGCGAGCGAGTGGCGACATATCCGGAACACAACTCAGATTTTCGGAACGACTGCTCACCGCGTAGATCAATCGCTCAAGGCGCCTTAGAACAATCCAACTCGGTCACTACCGCCGTCGAATCACAAACGGCGTCGTTCGGCTCTCTGCTCCCATGAGCTATCAATGTCAGCATCAAAGCGAGCACCGAAGAGACGGCAGCGGTAGCGAAGCTGCCAGGACGTATACAAAGTTTTGCCCACGAATTGACGCTAACCATCCCGAAGTTCCGTCCCCAGTCTGATTCGGGAGCATAAGTCACCACACTCATCCCAACCGGCACCGTATTTCACGCGCTGGCATCCCTGTCGCGGCACAGAACGGAGAAGAATTAGTTCGTCTTCATCCTGGGTTCGAACGCTTCGTCAGGATATGTTTGATACTCCGTCGAATTAGATTGGTATTCCGCTCGCCGACTCCTTGAATGCCTCCCGGGTAAGCCCTAGATTCCACAGTGGACGGGGAGAGCGTTTAGCGAGGATTTAGAAACGCGCGCAGCGAGTTTTTCTTTCGAATTCCGTGTCCGGTTCCAGCATTCCGTGGCAGGCTGGCGCTCGGAATTCGCGCAATTTGGTCGCATTCGACTCTCCTCGAGCGAGGGGTTCGACGGCTATCCGTCCGCCTCAAGTTTACGAAGCATGAGAGAAGGCTAGAATCAAGCTTGAGACAGTCGCAGAAAATATGTTCGAAGTCTCGAACCGTTCCGACGAGTCGCGAAAATTTCGCGTGACGCGATCGATCAGATATCTGTCTTCTTTTGTCCTGTCCCTGCATGACCTTCAGACATTTCAGAAAACGCGGAAGTGCATCGTGGAACGATCGAGTCTCCACGCTTTTTTGTCGGAGAAAACGAGATTCCGCGGGGATTCTAGACGAGAACGTGACGGATAATTAATGATTCACCCGGAAGCCAATTCTGCGGCACGGACGGCCGCTCGGAGTCGAAATCCTAGAGCTCCTTATGACTGCTAGTCATCCCAGACCGTATCTGAATGCTGCGAAAGCCTTGCGAATCCGACCGTAGAGTCGTGCGACCATCTGCGCCCGATGGCGACTCCTTCGTGCGGCCTCCACACCTTCTTAAGATCGCTCCTGCGACAGGGATTACCAGAAGCGGCGAGCCGCGCGCATCGCAAGTTTGGGATTCGAGAGCCGGAGAGTCGGGCCAAGCTCAAGGAAGAATACAGTTTTGCGTGAGGGTTCTCGAATAGACCGTGTATTGACCATCTCATGGAAAGTGCTCGAGCTCGTATGGAAATCGTAGCGGGAAAATTCCCTCGCTCAGGGAGTTCAGGAAGATCAGGCTGCTCCGAGCTGTTCTCGGTAGGACCTCGCGAAGAGTCGACTACATCGTGAATCTTCGACTTGGCGACACAGAAGCTCGAACAATCGGATACATAATGCATGTCACTCGCCTATCCGGGAGACGACTCCATACAATGTAGGGGTGTAATTCAAGTCCTCACGATGCGTCCGAACGATTCACGTTAAGCTTCAAAACTAGCAATCGTTTTCTGACCGCGGAAACATTTCTGACCGAACATTTTCGCTGAGAAACATCCTTCCGCATGGCTAGCACGGGGATTGTTGCTTCTGGAAGGATTCACAGATAAGGGCAAATGGGAGAGATCTCACTTCGGGGAGATATCTCGCTTGCTCGATGCATAGCTATTCCAACGGCTCCCGATCGTAGTTCTTCCCTCCGAACGGACCTCGAATGCTCATCGAAGGGGTCTCGGGACGGGACGATTTCAGGAATCACGGTGTCTCGAGCTCTCCCGGAGTCCTCATAGGCACGGATGTGTTGATGCCATAGGAGGGCCTCACAGCGCGAGGTTCGCGCCCCATACCCTCGGAGGACCCGAAAGCGGGAGGTCAGATCTACGTGATCAAGAATGCCACAAAAAAATTACCACTGCCTCATGCGCTCAAAAATGGAGGAATCGCACGTGGAGCATCTCATGCGTCAAGTGAGGCATCGGCAGTAGACCTCGACAACTTGGGTCTTTGCTCCGAAGTCGCCTCAGGGTGATTACAATCCCTGTTGACGCGCTTGGGATGGTATGTCTCTGAATGCGCAGCATAGATATCCGCGAGCCGGACGACCTCCGTTCAACAATAGGAAGTACTGTCAGGAATATAGACAGCAACGTCTATGCCTAAACATAAGATCGTGAACACCTCTGGAACAGAGTTGCTCTAGCTGCGCTCGTCCGTCGAAAGAGTTACCGACTGTTTAGATCGTCAGTTTCAAGTCTCCGTCGCTCGGAAGTAGCTCCCAAATATATCAAACGATGCTTCGAAATCGTAGGTTGGGGGGACTTGTGACGGCTCCGGTGATGTGCTGAGCGACGCTAGCCTCGTAGGATGTGGGACTCGCGGGGACATTCTAGGTATCATCAGGAAGTCGGAAATACCGCTGCCCGAATTCCACCCATGATCGGAAATAACGTTACAGAAGGTACTCGAGTCGCTCGGTGAGACTGCATTCATGGACGAGGCTGTGCCCGAAGCGAACAGAGGGTTCCAGACGAGACTTCGCCTCACCTTGGAACATTTTTGATCCACTCCAAACTCCGCACTGACCATTCAGGACGAGGGGGCTTCAACTCCGTCGCGGATTTTTGCGTGGCATGCTGCTGGCCATGGAGGTCACCGGTGGAACAGCTTCCCGTTTTGAATGGACATTGCCCGAGCTTTGTGGCCGCACATGGTTTCTCTGCTGACGGATAGGAACACCTCCTTTCAGCGTCACGTCCGAATGCCGCGTCATCAGACGAACGGAGAATCTGCTTGGAGAATAGTATCCTTCTTGGAGAAGGCATTGGACATTTGACGGCTCTTGAATTTATGATCGGCGCGATCCTGACACATTCTCGCTTTGCCAGTTCCCGCCACGGATTCGATCAGGAGAAACGGAGATTGATTTGGCGAGAGATTCGCCAGGTCTAGAGACATTCCTCGAACTAAGGTATGGACTCCGGTGCTCTGGAACAAAGACGACTCCTCCTGCCGAAAGTGGCCGCGATTTGTGCTCCACCTCTGACCGGCCTCTTCGCTTCAAGGAACTCGTCGCTTGAGCCCTGTGTAGATCGTTCTCCCGAGTACAGTTGAGAGTCCAGTTTCTTCTGGAATTCGCCCGACACGACCGAGAGTCTTCGTTAAGAATTTGCTCCCCGTCGCTGAATGGAAATCTACTCCCTACATTCAATCAAATCCATGACAGAGAAAGAGTCACCAGTTGTTCATCCGAGCCTTGAATCATGTTCGGATCAATGATTCTTCCATAAATAAGTAATAAGTAAAAAATGATTCTTCCATAGGAACGATACTAGATGCCATTACGAGAGAATTTCTGTCTCCTCACGAATCTAGTTCAGCTCACTCTCATGAAAGCCGCTACGTTCCCCGGGCCATGGATATCATTCTCCGCGTCCCTCATTTCTTTATCTTCATAGTAATTTTCGAAGATGTGCGCGGGAAAATTTCACGAACCTTTGAGAGATCCTCCTGGTGGGATCGCTCGAAGTAGCGGTCGATCTCTAGACAAGACCTTGGAGTCGGCATTGAAATACCTAGTGTGGGACATCCGTCGAATTGTTTTGAATCCACTTCGTTGTCCTCCGCCAACGCTGCACCAGGCGCCAGGCGGTTGATGAAAATCCGAAATCGAGCACCGTCGACAGGATCCGATCGGGGGCGATTTTTTAGTAGCGCGGCACGATAAAATGATGAGAATAATTTGAGACCAATGGTCCTCATGATTCTCGGAGATTTCCCCTAGCAGTACCGAGTAATCGAGACAGCAATGGAGAATTGGCTCGATTTGGGAATTCCCAGTTCCCAACGAATACCAAGCAAGAGACAGCCTGCGCGGCATAGCAAAGATTCGCGACAGTCGATCGCTTTCTGAAAGGCGACACTTGTTCGATGGTGCATCAGATAAGTAGGTGATGGGGAAATAGAGTAGGCATGGGTTTCGTTGATCTCCAGGTGAGAGTCCGCGGTGAGACTTCCGCGGGAAGCTCTCAATCCCAATGGCAAAGTCTCTTGGAGGAGATACCTCATTCGAGTTGGGTTTTCCTTCCTCCTGCGAGAGCCTCACCAAATAGGCGATCAGCCGACGATTTCCCGTTTGGACGTTCTCAACCGGCCAGCGAGTTATTAAGGGAGATGCTTGACTGAAAGCTTGAGCCGAACGCGATCTCGACCTTGGAACACACCACATTTGAAAAGCTCCATCGAGCGTCACCGCTCCCTCCGAAGAATGAGGTCTGAGAAACTTCCACTTCCGATATGCATTCTCGATGGACTAGAATTTTCGAGCTGGGTATCATGTGTTCAGGATTTGTCCCGTTCGAGTTTCCTCAGGGTTGGAATTCAGCTGGATGATTTGGGGCTCGAAGGTCGACATGCTTCTGGTCGAGATCTTGAATCCGCCGCGAAACATCCGAACACCGGACCGGAATAGTCGAGTGATCGACTATTGAGACAGACCCTTGAGATCAAGGAGTTCTGTGACTTAAACATTTTTCCTTTGAGGCGCTGAGTGAGGTTACGATACCACTTATGAAGCAGCTCGACGATCTCGTAACTGCTCGATCATAATCGGGAGCTGAATGCCCAGCTTTGTGGGGAACTCGGCGGTACCACGAAGGAAGGGAATCAGGATTGGTAGCTCTCTGTTGGTCGGTCAGCTCTCGGAATACAATCACATCGGACGATTCTCGGGTCAATCGAAAGGGAGACGGCCTGGAAGAAGTCTACAAGGCCGCCTCCACTCCCGCCGACGGAACTGATGCTGCTCGAGCAAGGCAGAGCGCATCCGGAATCGACGACACGTACGAAAAATTCGAGAAGTTCCCGTGCATTCCAGTCACTCAACAAGCCACGGAACCGCGGAGTGCGGCTTCGTTGGGAATGAAAATACCTCGACGAACCTTAGGATCACTTGATTCCATGCTTTATTCCGGTAGCCTTGCCCGGGAACGTTATTTCGATGACCACAGCGCCAGCGTCGCATCGTCCCCGTATAATGTACGAGGAAAGAAGAAAATCTCGATGAGAACTTCGATTCCAGTTTTTCTGGCGCAATGTCCTCCGGTGGAGGATCGTGTCATCGATGGTACTGGCGCGGACGTGCATCTGATATCTCGGTCCGATCGAATGCACTCGATCTCAGGCTTCTAGATTGATGTTGCTCCCGAATTTGCCATAGAGTGTCGTTTTCAACTCGGTCATACGAGCTTTCAACTGTGCGATTTGGTCCTTGTATTCAGAGATTTGTCTCTCTAACTCTTCTTTGTCTGCGTCGAGACGACCCTGAAATAATAGATTGGTATTCTGAGAACGCTCCGAGACTTCTTATTCAAAGTCCGCTCTCAAGCGAAATCGGATTCTGTCACGTCAGAATTGATACAGGTCATCTTGGTATCGTTCATAGCACAGGGAACACACCTGGATCTCGTCAGACGGCAAATCGATGAAGACGTCTCCCATTTTGTATGGTATTTGGTCCTCGTCTTCGCCTGCAAGGGGGGATTCGTTCGGTAGAACCAAGCTCCTCTCCGTCATTGCTCGAGGTACATCAGCCCGCTAATGCTACTACTCCGAAGGATTATTCGAACAGGATTATTCGAACAGGTTCCAATGTTGTGATAGTAAATCAGAAGATGGCTGTAGATTCGCGGACGATCCATGGTTGATCGTCCTGAGTCCTGAGGCGACTTGCGGAAATGCCGAGCATTCTGCGGGACGCAGTTCGGTGTCTGAAGATAGACCTATCGGACACTATGCAGTCATGCCCAAGCCTTCGCTGGGTCGGAAACTTACCGAGCATCAACTCGTCGGCAGCATCCTGGAGCTTCTGAACTTCTTCGTTCTTGGCCTTTATGGCAGCTTCGAGCTCTTGGAGATTCTGATTATGTCTCGCGAACTGGTTGATTTGCAATTGATCTTCGACGGTGATGTTCACCTCGTCCGAGCTTAATGTTTGGGTCATCGTTCTACTCAACACCGAATGAGTGATTCTTCTCCCCGGCTCAATTCAGCGCGAGTGACACACGGAACGTGATGTTGTTCGATTCAAATAAGGCTCGTGGGACACAGAGCTGGCGAATCGGGGCGGCTATGGGATTGTGATGGCATGAGCCGCGCTCTCCTCGCCCGACTCCACGCTCATGCTTGTGAGCGCCGAATGGACGACGATCCCGGCGAATCCGGATTCCCCGAATGAGAGGAGCAAAAGTCGGTGGAAATTGGAGAAGTGGAATTAGTACAGCTCGAGAGAGAAATTTCCTCCCAACATTTTCCACAAATCCGCCGTGACCGAGAGCAACGTCTCAGTATTGTGTACATTGTTTTTATCACATCGCTGGGGTACGAGAAAACCGAGAGATTGATCTGAAAATCACCTTTATGCCTTTTACGGAAACGCGCCATCGGGCCAAACGACAATCCATCATCTAATCTCAAGCAAGGACGCGTGTCTCAGAGCGGGAATTTCTTCCGAATGAAGCTACGAATGCACTTGGGAGGGAAACGCAGAATGAATTTAATATATTTGCTATGCGCAGAGAGCACAAATTGTTATTTCCCCTACTCCGCGCGTATTCCCAACGCTATCGTCTGGCAAGTCAGCCTCCTTTGACTCCCAACGGTTCAATGAGGATGCTCGGACCTCCGAGCGCCAGGAGCTCGACGAGTCTCGTCAATGACCTGTATTTCTTAAGCGGGACGTTCATTACGGTATAAGGTGTTTCAAGGTTTATCCGAGAGAAGATGACTGTTGTTGTGCTCCGGAAGATTCATTTTTCGTCCTGAAGGAGGCCGCGAAGAACCGTTTTGCATATTAGATAAGGCGCGTCGTGCAGAGAACTCGCGAACTTGCTTTGCCCGGCCCAGGAACCTCTCGCCGTCGAGGGTCAGGACCGAAGCACTCTTCTCAGTGACGATTTATTTCCTGATGATCGGTTTGCTGTTTTGACCGAAATTCCGGAAGGGCTATTCTGCTATCCTCACATATGGCGCCTCGTCGAGGCTTCTCAGTCCATCGCTCAACTTCGCTCTGACGGTACTTCGATCCGAGACTCTGCTCCCAAGTGAGCCGTAGGGCTCGGAGCCGAGAGACACATGGCCTAGTCGTATCGTCGCAGTCCGCTCGCGGTGGAAGTACTATGAAATACTCGCGGACGCGAAACGAAGCTATGTATGTATATCAGTCGATAGATGTTTCGCATTAACATTTGTATACTGTATCCCGAGACTCGGTTTCGGTTGAGAAATTTGCCTTGATTACGGTGATATGAAGATGTCTATCATAGACTTCGTGCGGGGGTGCAACTTTCGACGCCCACTCTGCGCGAGCACCATCACGAGTGCCATCAAGCACCTCCCAAAATAACCCGCATCGGCAGCACTAGTACATCGGAGATTCGTGACGTAGTATCGGGAGGGAACCTCTTGAATACTTTCATAAATTTCCTCAGAGCTCGCCCACGAGCTATCCGGATCAGCCTCCAGGTCACCGCGCAAAGCGCTCGAGCTTCAAACTCGAAGCAATCGGGACACTTCGAGGCTGTCGCGGCACTCCTTTGACAGACTGGCCCATATTGAGGAGCTCGGCGGCGATTGTTATGCTGACGACTCGACCCGTGAGCCGAAGATGTCCCCTCGGTCGTTCGTTTCTTCGATCGTTCGATCGCTCGCTCGGACGAACGAACGAGTGAGTAGTAAGAAGAGGGACCGCTGTCAAAGTTTCGTGAGCTCTCGCGAAAAACCAGAACTGGCCTCTTATCCCCATGGATGTGCTGGCTCGATAATCGCGAGAAGTCCATGCGTGCGGTATCCATTGAACAAGACATCATGGGTATCGTCCTCAGGAAGCTTCGAGCCCTCTATGAATGGCTCCGAGGCTCTAAGTCCTGCCGCGTGACCACCGGCATCACAGCGTAAAATGGCATTAAACTTTAATGATATCTCAGGAGGGGTGATGGGATGAGCTCCTGAGGGGAGCGAGGAGTGTAGAAGATTATTTTCGCTGGTGGACTTACAATGGTTCCCAGAGTCAAAAACTCCCGACTGGCATCGGCGCTCGGCATAGCGAATCTCGACTTCGGTAGTTCATGAGTCGGAATGAATCATGGACTGAAATCGTGAAACTCCGCGGGCATTCGAGAAAGTCGCCTCCGGACACCCCATCTGGCAATTTTCTGCTGATGAACCCCTGGTCCAAGAGATATCTCCGCGGAAATCGGCTGCTGATTCCAAACGGATCCGCCGGGGAAGAATCCCCTACGGATACCTGAGCTACATATGTTCTTCAGATTTTTCTATTCATCACACGAATGTGCCTCGTTTCTCCTAGACATTGGACAATCGGTCTGCCTGATCATCATCGTCGGAGATGACCACTCATCTGACCGACAGGTCATTCATGAACGAGTCTCTGCGTTGTAGCTCGACCTTGAATAGGAGGTGGACAGCGACTTTGAAAGATGGATCGAATACTTATCGTGGTCCACGGCTCTCGACGACTGGCCGCCACTCATTGCGAGGCGATTCGCCTAATGATGATGGTGAAGATCCGGGTGTTAAGGAATCGAAGAGCCCGAAACTCAGGCGAGGCAATACTCCTCGAAAGTCGAGCTTGCGCTGATCGATTATTTCTCGAGATCGCTTTCTATCATCCCATGGTTCGGACTCTTTCATTCATTGAGATTGAGATTATAGCTGCCGGACAATCCCTTAGCAGCGAGCTTGCGTGTTCAGTCAGTTTACCTCATCGCGCGGTTTGGGTCTCAATCTGAGCCTGATTCTAATCATATTCGATCGTAGGACGATCGGAGCGACTTTTGGGAGGCTCCCAAGATGGGAGAGCTGCTCGGTGTGAGCCTGGCGGGAAGAACTCTATTCTTTCGGCTATTTTGTTCTCCTTGAAGTTCTCTACCTCCGCAAAAACATCGGGCTCACCGTAGCTCTTGACCACCATCTCGACATCTGCAAGACTCCTCCGCAGGGATTACAGAGCTAGGAGACGAGTCTCAGGAGACTCTCCAATATTTAAGAACTGCTTTCGAAAGCAATCGCTCAATTTGTACGGACATGCAGGATTTCTCTGCGGTGGGAATCGACGCCAGAAACTCGAACAACATCTTAGAGAACATGGCCAGGGCAGCGGAAAGGGGATAAAGGCGTATTACCTGAGAGTCGGAAAACCATGAAGATGAGACGATCCGAGAGAGTCCGACGCCAGGAATGCGATTGCCCTCTTCCAGTCTAGTCTAGCTTGGGCCGTCAGAAGTTCCCGTTTCGGACCGAAGTCAGCTCAAAAGGCCCCAAGAATATTCTTCCCATGAGGTATGAGATATTCCGCTCAGACTCGAGAAGTCGAGGTAGGTTCAGTTTCTTCTCGCCGAAGTAAACGGCTATTCGGGTTTGCGAGGGATTGAAGGGGAAGGACGACTCGTCACTGATAGTATATGTGGAAGCACGGATTCGGAAATGCGGAGGAGCAACCGGTGATGGAGGAGAGCCGCTATCAAATCTCGCTTCTGCAGGGAGACGCTATGTGTACAGGATCCCAGGACCCGAGTTGTTCCACTTTAATAAGACTCCGTGTGTTGGGATCCGGGCCCGGTCGCAATCGAGAGAAATGGTGAGAATCTCGAAGAGGGGCTCAGCGGGAGAGTGAAAGACGTTTCGCCTGGCAAGGCTCTTCTTTCAATAAAGTCACCAACGCTTGTCGCCGGCAAGAGAATGAACAAAAAAGAGATTTTTCAAAATAGGAGGAGGAGGAGACGTCGACGACAACAAAACACTAGCGAAGAGCCACAAACTTTTCTAATACCCTCTTCACGGTGAGCTTCGGGAGGAGGGAGACGGAGAAGAAGAAGCAACCGAATCTCTCTCTGTGCTTCGTCTACTAGCTCGGTCACACTGCGGCAATATAACACTCGCAAGCCAACATCTTGATTGACTCTTCGACAGCAGCCGTTTGGCTGAGATTTTTCTCCACAGATTTTTTTTCTACTCCTTTTGTTGCTTCTCTCGTCATCCTTGATCGTTGGAACGACAAACAACAACGCTTCAATGGGTGTTCACGACTCTGCCGAAGCTGACCAATCGGGAAGGATTGATGGGAAAAGCAGACAATGCTGAGCAGTATCAAAAGATACGTAGGTTTATTGTGGTCCTCCTTGATCATGGGAACAACCATGTGGGGCATTCGTTCTTTCCAGACCAATAATATTAACATTCGACAGTCGGGTCATTGCCCTATGAGAAGTTATATTACATTCTTTACACAGAATTATATCGAAGGCACCTGCGTGATATTTGATTCTCCATTCGACGTCTCCGAAGTCTCTAGAGTTGTCGACGCTCGGATCCTCGTCCAGCCTCCACGAGACTTGATACAATATTTATATTATCTCGGTTACGGTTCACTAAAAGTTTTGCGGCTCGACTACGGGGCTCAGAAACTACTTGGGCCCCGCACAACGTACATTGTCGTCGCATAACAGGTTGCACGCTTTGTTTTTTTTTCTTCCTTTGGTTAGATTTCTTAAGCTAGAACATCCCAGTCTACCGGGGCATTGCCTCGTTTCGTTGCACCGTTTCATATATATTTATATATTTTTTGACTCTATTTCAAGTATCTCCGGATCGTCTGAATAAATTAGTCGTAGGGGGAGTATAGTGCCGTCGCGAGTGTGGAATCAATGCTGACGCTTCCCCCAATTTAGAATTACATCTTTCGGGAAGGGCAAACAATATAACTAAAATGTTTGCACTCTTTCCGTGGTGGAAGACGGCCAATAATCCGAAGTCGAGGCATCGCTATCTCTGAATCCTTTCGCGAACGGGTTGCTGGCGATTTTCAATTGCGTAATCTGCAAACGAACAAGTCCATGAGTCGACGACTATGATATGATAGATTTCGGAAAATCGCATCTTTGTCGTGTGTACGAGACGATATACAAGTTTTTCGAGGCCGTGCTCAGTGCACGCGCATCTCGCGCGATTGGAGTTCAGTTCGCCGCGATGTCGGTTGCTTCTGCGCTCGACATATTCGAACCCCCTATGCGTCTGGGGATTCTATACGAGGAGTGATCAATATCTTCCTATAATAATGAAACATTCAACTTTGTTTGGCCACTCGTACGCTCTTGAGTCAGCGGGAGCGGCGATGGAAGGAAGCGATTTCAAGAGAAAACGAGACCGACGACGGAAAGAAACTAGGCCCGAGCTTGAGGACAGGAGACTTTTTTTGTTCGAACACTGAGAGAGACAGAGAGAGAGAGAGATGTGGATATTTGCAAACACAATCCAGTCGTGTAGTGTCCTCGAGTGACTTGTTGAGTTCTGGCTAATTCGGCTCCCTTGAGGTGTATCAAGAGTGTACAGGAGTGTCTGCTTGCTTCGATGACTGCCCGCCTCGCTGCCGCTCTCTGTGGAGGTCTGATCAGCCAGTCAGGCAGCTTGATAGCGAGCTCCGGTGAAGTGTCATTCAGCCCAGGGAACGTGCTACTCTCTCCTGGCCAAGACTTGAAGCCAGGGCAGCATGTAGGATCCTCGGAGCCCACGGCTCGATCAACAACTCCCCGGGGTTCGATCTGGGCATGGAATCGGAATTCATGAGACAGAACGATTCAGAGAACCGGTATACATTCGGATAATATTCCGGTATTTCAGATACGCGGCGGAGAAGCCTTCTGGCGGGGCGACCTAACGTGACGATTACGACACGTTCGGTGTTTATCCCAGCGAATCCATCTCTCATCAAGCTTCACTGCAACCGACATTTCACCGAGGAACGTCCGACGAAAATGAAGACGAATCACTACCAAATATGAACAAATAGAAAGCGGAAAGCTCATTAATTACGGAGACTTCTCTCCGCTATGCTCCTCGTTACGAACTGAGACCGCCTAGCTGGGAGTCAAGAGCTCGGAAGACTCAGTCTACCCACTGCGACATGGGGGAATCGGAGTGCTCCCACGGTCGGCTGGAGGAATTGTCCTTGCTCAACCCGAAATGCTCTAATCTGGTCCGATTGCTCGCGAAATCGCTGTGTTTGTACGTGTTCTGCCCTACGCAACACGGCTTTGTTGGCGAATCGCGTCGGCGGACGCTGGTTCCTTCTTTGACATTTTCAACAGGCTCGAGCTTATCGCGGGAACCACTGAACGCGCCGAGGAAAATGAACGGTTGGTTTCTCTGATCTTAAGGTTGGCGCGACGCTGAATGGAGTCGAAGAATAGAGGGAATCTCTCTTTTTGAATTCTCGCGCCATTGCACATACCGAGAGGAATGGGAGCGCCGAGGCATCGATGGCCGGACGATTAGGTAGCTGCTCGATAGACCAAGGCTCGTCGTCTGAGATTGCTTCATTTTATAGGAAGGTTCGAAATTCTTCCAAGAGTCGTCGTCGCCGCCGCCGCCGCCGCCCTTACGGTTGATACGGGGCGGACAGTTCAGCGCCGAGACGGGGGCCACGTTGGCTTAGGAGATGGGAGGGAAGAGTTTGCCGGGCTCCCGTCTTCATCACTCCGCTCGGAGGCCAACCAGCCAGGACGAACGGGTCTGGTCGCTGGCGTCGCTTCGCATAAGAATAAGGACCCATACTCTAGTCGACGCCATTCTAATGGAAAGTACAGGCCAACTTTCACCAAAAGCCACTCGAAGCAGAAACTTTCCGAGGCATCGGCTGGTCATATTGCGCTCGGCAATCCAGACTGTATCTCGCTCCGGTTCTTCTCACACCGAGACGAGTATTCGACACAAAGACGCCGACTATGAAGGAGTGATGTCCGCGCCGAAAGGGCGAGCATGAGGGATGGCGGGGAAACGACCGATAGTTCCTGAGATATAATATTTCAAGCCCCACCAGCACCGAGTCCATGGTCGAAGCATTCACATTTATGCACTGATGACATCTGCTCTCTTAGCAACGGTGGTCCCGCCTAAGTCGAGCGCTTTTGCGGAGAGCCGGAGAAAAGCGGTTTCACAGGCGCAAGTCAGTTTCGTTCTAGAAGAGAGTCGAGCCAAAATGAATAAAGAAGAATCTCCTCCGCTCGGTGTGGCTCCAACTTCGGCGAATTCCAGCTGAGTTTCCTCTCGACATGTGCATCGGTGAGCATTTTTACAAGTTCTTTTTGCAAGGAAATTTGCATCTCATTATTTAACTATTTCAAGCCTGCGACCCAGATCGATGCCCAGGACTTTCACTCTCACCGCACAAATTGGCGATCAACCGCCGAGCGAACGAGTCGTCGTCGTCGGAGGAAGCCGCAATCGCATTTGTTTAAATTCAACACAAAAAATAGAGTTTTCTCCTCCAATCAAGTCAATTGGAGCTCACGTCGTTGCCGACCAACGGCTGCTCTGGCATCGATGGGATTCCGCCGAACATGTCTTGTGGCGTCGTGCAGCTCTCGGACCCGATGGGACTCGAGGCTTCCAAACGAGCTCTGGCCCTTTGATATGCGCGGACTTGGCCTCTTTCGAGTCACGCGGGTATCCTGTGGAGGGGCGCGTCTCCATCTCTAATCGGTGAGTACTGTTGGAATCGGTTTTCTTTTCTCTCTCGGTTTCTCTACGGTTTTGGATTTGGTGCGAAAAATGGATGGGGAAGTACGAGCTCGGCCAAGTACGAGTGATGCCAGAACCGCCAATCACCCGAAAAGCCAAAACGTCATCAATCGAATAATCCTCAGCTCAGTCAGTCAGTTCTAGCGACGAGATGAACTGGCTCGAGCTGAAACTGCCGGCCCGCCGGGTGCTTGAGTTTAACTGATCCAGGGCGAGTTTAGCCTCACTGTTGTTTTGAGGCACTCGAGAAAGATAGTAAACTCGTCCGATAAACAACAGAGCTGAGGACGTTTCCTCTTATAAACTATAAACACTAAGGTAGCCAAAACGCTACAGCAACAAACGGACGTCGAGCGGTGTCTCGAACAACCTGGGATATCGCCAAAAGCCACTGGCTTAGGAGGGGAAAAAACACAGAGCAAGCAATCCGCGCTGTGAGAGGACAGAAGCTGAAAAACCTGAACACCCAATACACGCGTCGAGGCAAAGAGGAACAAGTAGCTCCGAAGACGCACTTCTGTGGCATGGATGTGATGATCGCATCGTCCGACCGAGCGCGAAGCCGAGCAAGACTTCGCCAAAAATCTATAGAGATCGAGAATCCTCACCCGGTGGTTTTGGTATGCCGTCACCGCTATGAAACGAGTTTCTTCGAAGGTGAATGTTTTGAAGTTCGTCGTTCCCGAAGTGTTCTCGTCGGACGGAGCCACGTAAACGACGTGGAAGCGGGGCTGATATCGATGCATTGAATTGAGGATAATCTGTAATAAGGGGGATTTCCGTTAGTTCGATACGCTCGAGCGCGCGATAATTAGAAGGGAAAGTTATTCGGACAGTTCTTCATCCTCGCATCCCCGCCTCTAGGCGAGTGCCAGCGGAACTTTGTTTGAATAGTCCCTCCGTTCGTCCGTCCCGACTCATGCATAGACCTGTAAGCAGTCCTGGAGACACGCGCCCCTAGTTCTTAACGTTTCTGACTCTGCTCCATTTACGATTGTTGGAGTTGGGCCATGAGGAGAAATGCGATGTCGGATCCGCATCGTTCTCCTCATAAAAACTTTGAGTAAACATCGATACACTCTCGTGGAGTTGAATAGATGCCAGACTTATGACGGGCGTGAGGCAATTGTCGTCATCGCGGCGTTGTCGCTCATGTTGGCGGGGACCGATTCTTGAGTGAATGGCAAACTCTTTCACAAGTTGCCGACCGGTCGCAAGAGGCAAGCGGTCGGTCGGTCGGTCGGTCAGGCGGGCGCGCAGGCAGGCAGGCGGTCCACAGACTTACAAACTCCACAGAAGCCTCCGTTCGTCACAGCTGTCGCAGCTTTCGAGAAAAGTATAAATCTTAACTGAAATTCTAACTGAACACCGGACACATTCAACCGCGAGCTCAGTCCGACCGATTTCAAGTGTTCAGAGGTTTCTCGCGATGGAGTTTACCGACCCCACGTATTTCAGATCGCCTCTTTGATTCCATCTCGGTGGGTCTCCCGCCACCGTGAAAGCCTTCGCGCAGAGCAACGTTGTCACGGCTGTGGACCCCATCGCAAGCCAATTTCGGAGCGATTCTCGGAGCAATGCGGCGAAATATCGGCATCGTTCTCTTGCCATTTACAAAAAGCACACTTTCACACCTCGCGAAACTACCGCCAATGTTCAGTTGCCGTAAAGCTTCTCTATGGTGACGCGGTGGCTCTATGGATTCTTCCTTTTCAACGTGACGAGCGTCGAACTGATGTCACGTAACCCTCGGTCACGAATCACGGAGGTCCGACGCTTGTGATTCCTCTGGTCAAACAAGCTTAGACTCTAGTGGGTGATTAGACTAGTCATACCTATTCATTCACTGGTGTTTCTTGGTTCATTTGGCGTGAGCTAGGATTGCGGACGATGCTGAACGAATTCAGGATTCGATCTATTTTTCGCTACCGGCGTAACCGGTCCACAAGAGAAGTCACAGGGCCTAGGAATCAGTGCAATAAAGTCATAATCCTAACAGGCTGGTGCCAAAACACGACGATTGTCGGTCGTTGTAGGCTTGTTTGACATCAACTTAATGCACGGTCAGTGGGATAGAACTTCGAGCAGGTAGGGATCAAGTCGCGAGCTGGTACAACACCACCTGGCAGCTTTCGTCTGCCGGAATGGACTAGCTTCAAATGGCACCGCTCGTTCAAGTCGTAAGCCTCTCATTATGCGTGACCTCCCTTCAGGTGAACAGATATCGCGTATATCCTCGCCCTGTCGGGTTTTTCTCGAAAATACGAATTTTCTGCTCGGTCTGAAATCAGCCCCGAGCGCTCTGACATCTTCCGAGCTCGTGTATACGATCGACCGATTTTCCAGCGCAGAGTACTCCGGCGCTGTCAGGTTGTTCAGCGAAAGCATTCTGTGACGTTCGAGCTTTCGAGCTGAACAGAGTGTAGAGAGGAATCTTCTGATCTCAAACGAACGCCTAGCCGTCTAATGTGTTTGTGTCAATACCCAGCCGAAGAGCTATATGTGTATTTGCTCGCACGACAATCGTTGCTCAGATCCAGCACGATGCATCATCGTCGTCTTAAGCTCAGGAAGGAAGTTGAGTTGAAGCGACTCGTTCCGGAAACTCTACCTCCGTATTTGATGAGGTTCTGCGCGGAAAGCCTCCCGTCCGCCGTCCGGGGTACCCACCAGCCCAATCGTAAAAAGCGACCTGGCTCCGAAAATTCGCGTGTGCTATGCCTCATTATCAGATGAAAAGGGGAATCCGTAAGAAATGAACGAGATATCCTGAGTTGGTCGGGGGAGTCCGAGTCCTTCACATGATCTCATGCATGATTTTGTGGCGGGCTGAGAGAGGTGGGCACGCAGGCAAGCGGACTGGTGGACAGAAGGACGGGCGAGGCGTCGGGATTTGGCCGTAGCTAACCAAGCTTTGGGCGAAGGACTATCGGCTACAGCCAGGAGCGCACGCGACCTCCTTAGCAACATTAGTATTATAGAGCGCGCGCTCTCTCGCGCGAACCCGCGTCTTTTTTAGACTATGGGGAGATTAGTACAATACACTACATGACAACGACGACGAAGACGACGACGAAAAAGACCCCCGATGAATCACAGGCTGTTGATACCTGGCGATAATTTGGGGGTGGGTGGTATGCCCTGGCCGTGACGATAAGGCTGCCCGCCTGTTCCCTCACTCGTTCCCTTTGCAGAGAAATGCCGAGTCTGTCATACTCCCGACCGGACTTCAATGCCGCGATCCTTTGGATGGGTGGAGGCAGAGCGAAATCTGCGCGGGGGAGGGGGTAAGAAAGCCGTAGAGATTGACAGCAGTTAGCCAGACAGCCAGTCCGTCCGTCAGTCAGTCAGTCAGTTCGTCAGCTCCTGCTCGAATCATGCCGACGATGACGAGATCGCTTTATGTTGCGCTCGATTTGCCTGAGGTTGTGTCCTCAAAAACGACAGTCATTTTTGCTCGCGCTCGGCTGGAGTCACCGTCGGGACGAAGAGTTCGGCTTGAGGGATACTTTCGCGCCTCGTTCGTTGCTCGCAATATTTGTCGCTAATTTTCGCTGCCAATTCTTCAACTGCATCAAATAAAGCTGCCGCCGCGGGATGGTTCCATGAAGCTGTCGAAAGAGTCGATGAGGTCCATGTCGTCGCGAAACCCGTTGGCCAAACACAGAGGATGCGCGAGCGACACCCGAAAAAATCCGGCAAGCACCCGCGGACTTCGAGGAGGTATTCATGCTTGGAATTCATAGTTCCGTTTGTTTCTTGCGCGGGTCACAAAATGTCGCGCAGGGAGAAGTTGCACTGCTCGCCATCAAATCAATGCCGTCTCCGCCCTCCTTTACAACATCCGTTTTCGATCTGTTGGTTGTCGTCTCGGGGTTGTCCTTCGCTCCTCCGATCGTTCGAGCGTCTTTCCCGATCGGAGGAGCTGTCTGGTTTTAGGCTCTCCATCGAATAGTCTGCCATTCGTAGCTTTGGTCCTATTAGCGATGCCGCCCTCTGCCTTATCGTATGTAGCTGTTGCGCCCGAATGTAAATGTCTCTCTCTTTTACTCCCTCAGTTGGTCGCGCTTCTACCTGGGGGTGACCCCCCCTTCTTTCTCCTCACCCTCAGCCGCCTCGCTCACCTCCTTCGGAACACTCCCAATAGGTCCGATCTCAAGAAAGGGAGCTGAATGAGCTTTGCAGCGGTTGGCATTTCGCATGTAACGAGGCTATCCCGAGAATTTGTCGCGGACGATTGGCAGAAAATGATCTGATATCTGAGCGATCGAGAGGAATCCACGCGAGCGTTCTTTTTCAGAATTCAAGGACTTCCCAATCGACCGAATCTTCGATACGAATATTCAAAAGTATTCACTCGGACAAATTACAAAAGAATCTCGTTCACCGGTGAAATCCGTGCGCTGCGATGAATATTCGCTCATCGAATGTTCTCCATCATCATTTCCGTGGTAGGTCAGCCAGAGGGGAAAAAATGCTCGTTGTACTGGAAACTCGTTCTGACGGCGTTCGTTGTAACGAGATTCCACCAGACTGCAGAAAATTCCGCCCATTGTCCCGCGGTGAACTTCGCTGCAGAGCCGAAGTCTCATGCTCGATATTTTCGCAGAGAGAAGATTCGGGAGACGGAAGCCTCGTGTGACCCCTCTCGTCGCTATCGGTGGATTCCGCAGTATCAAATGGAAAAAGAAACATTGCTCATTTTCCGATGTTCTCTTCTGGCGACAGGCGTCTGATCCCACGCCGGGCGGCTCGCTCGGTCGCTCGGTCGCTCTCGGCCATGGGTGGGTGTATGCATGCATGTGAGTGCGTCAGGTTTCGCTAAAGTTCTTCTCGCTTGTTGCTCAGTGTCTCTCTCTCTTTCTCTTTTAACACCGACAGCTCGCTCGTCGTTCCGGTGCATGTGGGGTTCAGTCGCTTCGATTTCTCCAGCTAGTCACCCGGCCTGTTGGTGTTAATCTTAGAATAACTAATGGTTCATAGTCTCCAGGAAAAGACGGTCATTAATTGAAGTGACATCTTCTACGCCAGCCATTTAACACCAGGCACGAAAGCGACCGATAAGCCAGCTCCAGACAGGCGTAGGGAAACACAAATGGGCAAAAACACACAATCACACATGATCGCCAAATGTAAGCGCGCATTGTTCTTCCAGGATTCGTGGCGTCCCCGTTCTGAATGCTCTTCCCAGGCCAGACGCGAGAGTGTTTCGAGAAAACTTCAAGAGGGTGAGGGAAGGGGGATTCATTCCGATATTCGTCTGTGCTCGCACAAGACACTCTGTTGCACGGGATCTTCCCTACGATCTCGGCTGAAGAGGAGCTCGCTCGCTGGCACTGTATTCGCCCCGATGTCTGGCTGTCGCTATTCAGAACGCTGATAGATGGGTCGACATGTTACAAGCGGTCACTCCTGACTGTTCCCGTCTTCCTGTTTCGTCCTTTTTTCTTGGTTTTTGCTCGGACATCGATCGCGATCATTAAACCCCATTGTTGCTCCTGGTTGGCTGCTGCAGTCCCGGCGAACGCTGACACAGTTCTTAACCGTTCGTCACCTGCGTAGTAGACCACTCCCCCGTTTCTCCAATCATTGCAATCCGTTCCGCTGCTAAAAAGGATCTCGCCGAGCGCGTTCTGCGCGGTCCCTTCCCTCCGTGACGAGCCGGCAGTCGCAAGGACGCGGCCCGGGAGCTCCGATACGGCGGGATAGCTGAGATCAACTCGGAGTGCGACTTCGAAGAGGCGAACTTTCCGAGGGAGGATGACGAACAACCCTTGGAGGAAAACCCGAAATTGGTTCTGCTCATGGGTCTGACTTCACCCCCTTCCGGACTTCAATCCGCTCGCTTTCTTCGCGCGACCGCAGCATTTTCATCGAACGAGGACAGCGATAATCTTGAATCGGTCCGAGGCATACGGGCGCGAAGAGTCACTGCGACTAATTGAGATTTTCCAGGAGCGAACGAAGTTTCCCGAGTCCGGACGAGGGGGATCCGGAAGAATGGGCTTCCGCGTGGCTTGAGCTCGCGAGAAGGCTAAACACGTGGGAGGAGGAAGGCGAGTGTGGGCAATGTCTTGGAGCGAAGCGGCCGGCCTGGCATCTATGGTCGTTTCGTGTTGGTTGTTTGCAGGTAAAAACCGCAGTACAGGAAAAAAATGTCGATGTTGTTGACAGCCGGGGAGTTTTAAAAATGAAGTTTGGCTTTGTGCGCGTAACGAATTGCAATCTGGTCGTTGTCAGTCGACCAAGCCGGCGGCTCCCCTGTCCGGGTTTCCCTCCATGCTTCCCTAGTCGCTCCCAGACTCGCTCCCTCGCCAAGCTGTTGCCTTTTAATTATCCACAACATGCAGGGTCAGTTGCCCGAGCCTCGCGTCGTTCGTCCTGTCCGCCGCATGTACTTGCTACTTAGTTAAAAGTCTTAACTGAGGACATTTTTTTTTGAAGCCGTCCTGTTCCTGTTTTGCGGCGCTCTCGCATCTGGCACGCAAACGTCAACAATATCCAAACCGACTCCGGAACTCAATCAGGAGAGTTATCAGGGAATTCATAATAGAAGAATGAATGCTCTCATCGAGGACGCGGCTCCCGGCGCGACCCTCTCCGACGCGACTCGTAGCACCTTCTCCCGTCTTATGATGCGCAGGAGAATCTACTCACGTGTCCATTGTCATCCAACTGGTTGTTGGTAAGTTTCAAGCGATCGAAGGAGACCAACTGTTTCGTCCATTGAGCACCCTTGGCCGGCGAGTCCGGGTGAACGTGCATCCGAGGTGGCATATGTGGATCAGCTCTGCCCGCAACCACCCATGACGAACTGCCGGAGCAAATCAAGGTTAGAAATGGAAAAACTCATCGCTCACCCTTCGCATTCTCGTCAGGTTTCCGTCAGCAAGCCTCCCTCCGGAGAAAGTCACCTGCGGTTTTCTCCTGAATTCGCTCCGCCTGTCCACGAAAATCTAGATTTCGTTGCTTGCCGCTCGTGATTTCGTTTGATTCGTAGAGCATTGACTCAGAGACTCGAATCAGTTCGGCGCAGAAAATAAATCTTATCATTCAGACGAAGAAAATTGTGATCGACCGCAATCGCAGCGGAATTTCAGCATAAGAGATATGACGAACGGGGAAAGGGAAGGGGGCCGATGAACACAGGAACAAATTGGCAGGACGGCGAATCGTTGATATTAGATAACGCTCATAAGTCTGCGCTCTGTCAGTCTAAACGACCCTATGTCTAAACAGCCTGCGTTCGATCATATCGGGAAGAAACGAAATCGATGCTGGGACGGCTGAGGCGTCTGCAACGCGTCAAGCACGTTGTCTCTGCTCCAGGCGACGTAATGAATAATGAACGAAATATTGGAGAGAACAATAGGCGCTTCGTCAACCATGGTTACCGGATATTACAGGCAACATCCCGACGCGAGTACCGTTCTTGGCTCCGAAATTCGCTTACTTTTCGAGATGGAGTCACGAGTCAAGGTCGACGGGCATTCCCTTTTTTCGAGTTATACCGCACCGAGCTGGCACTCAAGACTCCAATGTTTGGTCTATGGAGCCCAGTAAGACTAGCTGTGCCGAAATCAACTCACTTGTGAAATGCGTATCGGTATCTCTTGTCATCGACCGGGGTGAAGTCCATGAGCAACATATAGTCAGCTGACGAGTCGAGACCGAACAGTCTCACTTGAAACGTCGGGAACATCCTCCTGCAATTTCAGAGACAGCCTTGAAGAAAGTTTAGACCCAGACTCGTCTGTCCGATATCGCAGACCGTGCGGAGGTGATCGGGACCCAGGCTCTCGATCACCGGAGCTGTGTGACTTTCTCATCCAGTTTGCCCCCTTTTGGAATGTATCTGACATAAGGAAGGAGGGGAAGAAGGTTTTATTCCAGGATGGCGAGATGTGGGCTTGGAGCTCATCGCTCAAAGAAACGTGTTCGCACTGTCATCGCCAGCGGCTGCGTGGCAAATCGACGACAACAAGCAGCGGGAAAAAATAAATGTTCAGATATTTCCTGTCCTAATATCTGCGCTGGAGGAGATTCCGAATCTGACAAACAAGAACGCGAGCACACGACAACTCGGGTGACAACAACAAAGCGATCAACAAATCGCGGACCGCTCCAGAGTTTGAGAAGAAAGCCAGTCATCGCCCATATCCGCGCCCCGAGCTCATAGGCACCGTCCTTTCTCGGCGACCCGAGCGTGGAGTTTTGCGGGTTTCCGCGAGTCAACGCCGAGCCACTGGGGGGGAAAGACGATGCCAGATTGAATGAAGTGCACGAGATGCTTTAGTATAATGCAGCCACTTGCATCGTGTTGTGTTGCAAGCATTTGTTGTAGTCTCTCGCTGGCAGGGAGAGGGAAGAGGCAAAAATTCACAACAGGAAACGGATGTACTCGAGAACAGGAGCCGCTCACTCGAACGAAGGCGTGGTCGCGAGACTTCCTGTTTATTGGATGCGTCGCGTCGTCTACGCTTATTACCGAGAACGCCGAGCAATACACTGAGCACGACCGGGAGTGCATCCCATTTTCCATGGTGCAAAGATGCGATAAATAAAAATACCATCAACAACAACAGCAGTAGCGTTTTGCGATGCGACTCCGATGATAGTCACATCGATTCGCCCAGTCAGTCACGCTCCTTTGTGCGGTCTAGCGACAGATCGATCGTCGTGTAATTTTTGCATCTGCTTCCTCGTTCTCCTGCCGGATCATTTTTTCCTTCGTGTCGTTTTCGAGTGATGTGAGGAGTCGGGCTGTATGGACGCTTGAACGGATTCGGGAAAAGTATTCCAGTGCGAGAGACGGAACAATCCAGCCGGGATTCCGACCCATTCTCTCGCGATCGAGCTCTTCGATGCTTCCAGACCTGAAATCGGCCCAAGTCTAGGCCATCGCCTTGCGAGTTCACCGACGAACATAAAGATGAATAAGGGAGCGACGCTCGCACACTCGTATGGAGGTGGATGGAGGAAGCGGCGAGATCTTCGAGCAGCCGCGGCTGTTGTTCGGAGTGGGTCTGTCAAGATATTATCTCCTCCTCGGTGGTACACCTGCTTTGTCCGATTCGCCTGTTTTGCCTGCTCGTTCAATGCGCACCTTAGTCGTTCTGTTTCTCTATCCGTCTCCACTCACTCCCGCGCGACTGTCAGCAGCCTATCAGTCCGATAAAACTAATTGCTCTGGAGAGATGTCGGACAGCGGACTGTTATTCAGAGTCCTACGATGAATCAAGCATAGCGGATCGGGAGCCGGTCGGGACATCAGAACGCGGGCGGGCCATAGAGCAGCAGTAATAGCACCGAATGAGCCGAGAGACAAGTCTATTAGGCGAAGCAAGTTCATCCGAAACATTGAAGTCACGCCAGACGAAAGTGCAAAACGTTGTCCAGCTGACCCCGCGCGAAGCACCCGACCGCCGACTAACCGAGCCCCTGGCCACCACCGACCGCAACATCCACATCAAGGGTGATAACAGTGAACATAAGCCGGCTATCTTTTGACACGAGCTCTCTGTGCTCAAAGCTTGCGTATTCGTCCCTGCTGCAAAACTTACGAATTACTCCTCGAAATCGGGTGGAACTACCACAGTGTGCTCAAAACGAACTTCGGACCTTCATTGATACTCCGACGGTTGTCATCAAGGAGTAGACCCACATCTCGACCACGGTTTTCTGTTTCGACCCCGCACGTAACTTCCTCGATGAGAATTATTGTTTTCCCGCTTATGGACCTGAAACGAGGGAGCTTTTCGATCCCCATAACCAGTTGTCGCGGAAAGAGCGGGAGACGACAACTTGTTTTCCCAGACACGACGGAATAGTCTCCGAACAAGAGAGGCCACGAGATATACCCCGGACCAGACGAACCTGAGGACGAAACCTCACTGTGTCCTCAGTGAAGTTATCTTAACAGTGACCGGATACGACTTCGGTGCGAATCAAGGACCACAGCAGAGTATTAAGATACTCTCGCTCTCTCGGAAGGTCGCCCAAAAAAGGACATTCAGGCGAGAGATACCGTTCTCGGAGTTGACTTGTTCTCCCGTCGGATCGCAAGACCTCTGGCCAAGAAACAAAGAAATCTGCCAGACGCTGAGACAGACTTCACGGAATCGGGACCTCCGACCCCGGAACGACCGTGAGACTTCCATTCTGGTCCTAGAACAGCAAGTTCCTCCGGAGGAACCTCCGTCTTCAGAACGTCCGTTATCCGAATCGAGCGTGGAGGAGCGACGGCGACCTAAAAATCAGCCAGAAATGAATTCGAGACACCCCGGTGCTATACATGAGGAAAAAACGTGTCCGAAAAGAGCTTTCACGCCGCTCGATGATGCGACGGAAGCGGGCGTCTTCGTCGATTCAAGTGCCATCGAAGCATTGCCTCGAGCGACTCTCAAACGATTGTGCTTTCAACAACTCGAGGGCTCCTTCCCGCAGCAGAGACAACGTCGGTGAGAAAACCGGAAGATAAGAGGAAATCCGCAGAGGAGAACGCCGAACCCGACTCTCCAACTCACACCGACCGAGAATGAGGTAGCAGACTACGCGAGCGCGGACCGACAGCCAGACGGACGGACGAACGGGCCTACGGCTCAAGTCAAATCCGTGTCACGGCCAACTATCCGATTGACCGTAAAGTTTGCTGCGTCAGCGATCTCTTGTCGGCCAATAGGACGGGAGACAAAGATCCAGAGGAATCTTCGCGTTCCCTCAAATTGGATTACATCGAGCACAGAGCAGATGAGAGTAAGGTTCTGAAGCGGATTCTGCTGAAAGAGTACTGTGAATAGTTCATCCTCGGTAGGTTTTTTGCGCTCCTACGAAGTTCTTTTCGGAGCTAAAAATATTGCGATTCCCCTCCGTCGTCGTCGTCTCGAGTTCTTTGTTTCGCAACTTGTGAACGCTTGCGCTTTCGAAGGATTCCCATCTGGACGGCTCCTCCCCGCTCAGCATCCTTCCCGGGAATCGTCTTTCGCGAGGTTGCGGAATTACGCCGCATTGCTCCGCCGATGCAAAAGTGCAAAATCATCCGATATCATCCGAGTCGATCATCGGATATCTGATGTCGCTTTTAATTTCGAGTCGAACCCGTCCGGCATTCGCGGTCTCGCCACGGTCGTCGAGCTTTCCGAAGAGCCCTGTTTTCTGCGGGTGAGATCCCGAGACGTCCGAGAAAAGTCGATAGCTGTCAATGCATTGTGCGTGATGTAGCGTGATCCTGCACGATCGTATTTCATCGAATTCGAGCATATTCTCTGCGTTATCCTCTCACCATTGTATCGTTAAACGGAAAACGGAGTTATTCGGGGTGCAGGGGTAGAACAGCGCTCTCTCTACGGGAGGGAACGGGAGCTACGGCGGGCGCTAGAGAGCAAAACTGGTCCCGCTATGCTTAATTTGCACAGAGGAACCGAGTAACGCCGTTCCCTCCGACGGAATGCGCAGCGTCCGCACAAGGATGAAATTGCGAATTGTGCGGAAGTTCTGGGGAAGCGAAACGAAAGTCGATAGCGGTTGCAGCCAACGACGCTGTCCAGCTCCACATCAAGATCACATCCTGCCCTCGGAAATATTTATGGCGAAGAAGCAGCGGAATTTCCATTGCAGCCGTGGTTGGCCGCAACGAGTCGGTAGTTGTTTCTATTAATAATATAGAGATGTATATGTATGTAGAGCCGAGCCTGAAACACGTCAGACGGACCGACACAGGAGCGGAATCGTGTCGCCGACGCAAACCGGTCCGCCCATTAAGGTGAGCTGATGCTCGTGCGTAATTCATGAGGGCGAAGGGCGGTTTCTGAGTTCCTTCGTATGTGTTCTTCGTGTAATTCTTTCACAAACTACCGTAATTCCTGATAGACGATTTCCATGGCTGAACAGACAGACGGGCAGAACCACGAGCGAGCGTGCCAACCCCAAGACTCGAAGCTCCCAAAAACTACTCTCCGCCGACATACTCTCCCGAAACGAGGAGATATACTAATACATATAAGCAAGAATAAGACGTCGGCGAGCGGTGGAAACAAGTCAAGCCTTCCGGGGAGACTGAGCCATTAGGTCGGCAGATGAATTATGAATTTCATCTCGTCTATTCCCTCCGGTACAATGCTTGTTCTGTGCGAATGTTTTTCGCTGCTCTCGAAGCGAGTTCTCCGGAGCGAGCTATCACAGCCTTCAATTAGTTCTCGCTGAGAACCGAAGCAGAGAGGAGGATGTAGCGGCCAGGACTCACGGGAGTTGTATAGAGAGGGAGCTCTCGATGAGATCAGCGCGAAACCCGGTGGACGCGTTCTCGTTACGTCATCTTCGTCCTCGATCGACGGAATTGACGCAGTCGTCGACGTCCTGGTGCTCGGGTGGTGCGAGGATCGAACGACGTTTCATTATTTTTTTCGCGTTTCCATTTTTCCTTCATCTCCACAAACAAGGAGAATAAACGCGAAGGTAGAAGGCCATGGATTTTTCCGCAAAGCTTAGGAGATTAAAAGAAAATCAGTTTGGAACACTCCGATTGCATCAAACGGGAGAGGAGAACATCCAGAGATGTTTCCTCTCTGGGACTTGGGCCAGAACGGATATCAGAAACCGGAGAGTAGCGCGAAATGAGCTGGCGTTTCCAACCTTGTCTCGCTGAGTCTCGGGCAAATGTATACAATCCGCATGGGAGAGCCTCTGGCTTTCGGCCTCTCAAACGACC